GTGATATTAGTCATTCATAAAATCAAGAGAATTAAAGTGTGATATTGTAAAAGAGTGTTAACTCACTTGTGTAGGCAATTCTCTCAGCTTTTTAAGAACTTCCTGTGCTTAGTGCTTTATTTTTTGTTTCAACACTTGAAGTATGATAACATGGGGCTGGTTTTGCAGACAGGGTCAGTGATAGATAAAGTTGTTTCACATGATCCTCCTCCTTTTAAAATGTGCAGAAGAGAGAACCACTTACACCATCATTAGTGCTTCTGATATTGCTAAAACAATCCATATACACTGTTAAAACGACTTTGTAGACTTCTTTCTTGAAGTGAGAGGTCCATCTAGTGGCGCTATCTTGTCAATGCAGTTGCATAACAAAGGGGAGCATATTATGTTGTCCTAATCGACCATATTTGAAAGCCACATTGTCCCACAAGTCGAGTTATGATGCATTATTGCAAGTATTTCGATGCTTGCTTATTATTTATTTATTTATTTTGCTTTAACTAGTCAACCAGGTTAAGATTATACAGGACGTTTTGAGTGAGAGATGAAAGCCATGATGAAACATTCACATTTAAACCCTCTGCTTCGTTGATACAAAACATGAGCATTTTCCGGTACTTTTATTTATGCTTTTAAAAGCCATTAAAAGGAAACACTGTACCGGAATCATGTAAATATGTTTTTTTTTTTATCTAAATTGTTGAGAATTTTCGTCTTTTCCTGATGTCATTAAAGCAATACTTTTACCACGCCCCACCTCATCTATCAACTCTACACACACAAAAAAGACCAAAGACAAAAAGAAACAATTTGTCAGTAGTGAGAAAATTGACTGCAATCTAAACAATGTGGCAAACTAAATGTTAAATAACACAGTAGTAACTGTTTTCCACCATAAAACTTACAACTTTTGTGATGTATGCTGGAAACTATCCCCACCCTTGTTTTGGGACCACTTTTTGAAATGTTAACTGTGTCATTTCTTTGCAGTGCTTTCGTGGCACGTTTATACAAAATCATGACTGCACTGGAGATAAAGTTATAATGCAGCATCAGCACCGTCCTTATAACATAGGGTAGCTTTTATAGCCCAATGCATATGAGGCATTTTAACGATTTTTCACCATCAGTAAATTAATTGTGACGCAGCATATTTGAGAAGAAACTGTGACTCCAAGCTCCAAAAATACACACCACTGATGTATTTGAGTCAGCACACCTAATTTTTAAAGACAGTGATCCTTTTCGGTAGCCCCATTAAAATACAGAAAACAGAAAAAAAAAACAGCAACCACATTTGTGGGAGTACTATCCTCGAAGGAACTCTTGGTTCAGGTCCATTACTTCAGATAATTCTATTGAAAGGCACCAGGGTGTCAAGTGTTCCCAAATGAACGCGACAGTTTCTCAGAATATAATCAGCTTTTTCTCCGATGCAACATCTCACGTTATTATTTCTGTTAGGTGACCGGAGCTTTATATTTTACATAATGGAAATTTAAGCTGAATGTAAGTCTACAGTCTCTTAAATTTGCTATATTTTTATGTTTATTCATTTTTAAAAATTTATTTTTACTTCCAATGACTCTAAATTGCTGCGAAATTACTCAGAAAAAAACTTAGAAATAACTGCGAAAATTCAGTGTAGCATTTCTCAGCCATGAGAACTTGAACGAGGGAAGCAGCAAGTTTATTACCAAGGACAATAGACGGCGGATAGCCCTCAAAGGAAAACAGCCAGACTGGAAACAGCTAGACTGAGTATCCTCAGTTTGGCTCCTGACACCCTAAACACGAAGGACGAAGAACAGTAAATGACATTAAAACTCTATTTTGAAATTGTCGGAGTCTGTAATTTTGTGATTCTTGGCTGCAGCCGAAAGCTCACTTTTATAAAGCAAAACGTTTCCTAAATATAGGTTCACACACGTTTCATGTGCGTTATTATATTAATTTTCTAGCATTAAAGCTAGCATTTCTGATGACTGCTATCCATTTGGCCTCGATAGAAGCTGTGAACACCAGATTCTGGGCAACACTCGTAGGAAACACGAACAATTCGTGGGCGCAGGTAAAACCGTTCATCTGCACACACATAATTGTTCCTAATCCTAATATTTTCTTCTCAATTAGTTTTAGTCATATAAATAGTTGTAGTCACATTAAAATGATGATGTAATAAACGACAATTTTCAGATTTTTATTTTTGACTTTTTCTTTGCTGAAGTTTCATTGTAGTGTCTCGTGAGTTACTCTGAATACTGAAAACACATGGCGCATGAGTCGTGCAAAAAAGTGATGGCCGATGTCTGTGTGTGTTTTATTTCTAACATCGATAAAGAAGGGGTTATATATAAATTAAAGAACCTGTTTTGTAAGTAGGCTATCTATAAGTATCTCCTCTGTGCTCCACGTTACTCCACGTTGATAACTTCAAATATTTTTACAGAACTCTGTTTATGTTGCATTTTGCGCAGCCGTCTTGGCCAGATCTCGTGAAAAAGACATTTCTAATGTCATTTTTTCAGGTTTTGAGCTGGGTGAAGAAAATTTGTAATGAAGGTTTGAGAAGAATTAAGGTCACTTTGCAAAAAAACGATTGTAGCGCCTAAATTGTGACAGGAAGGTTCAAAATGCCTTCGAATCAAATGTGCGATATGTTTGAGATTTGACTGATTATAGGCCAACAAGTTATTTACGACAGTTTAAATCTAAAACCTCGCATAGTCTATATTTTAAAAGTTTTTAAACTATGAAATGTAAAACAGAAAATGTATAAACTGCAAACCCTCCCCCCCCAAAACGTCTGATTTTATAACGTTTCCCTCTTGGATGAAATAAATGTAACAGCGTCACTGGACTTTTAATTAATTGAAAAAACGTTGTTTTCAGTCTAACACATATAATTTTAATCCCTTAAAATCGGCTTTGTAAAACATCAGTTCATGTGATTGTTATATTTAGCATACCTAGGTACTGATGACGATGTAGACTCTGGAGACATTATCTCATGGTTCCTTTCCTGATAATCTTTTTTTTTCTTCTTGCACAGGAAACCAAACACGACTCAAATGGTTACTGGAGATAAGCAAAGCTCCTACCGCAGTAAAAACATTACAATGGTCAGAGTAAAGACATAATGACACGATACAAAGGCTATATATGCATAATGTTATGCTGCCACCTATTGGATTAAAGCCGAAACATCTCACATAATCAAACAGGTTTATTAAAGCTTTTGTCTTTTATCTTGTATCAAATTAAACCCATTCAGAAGCTTTGGCTTTAATGCTAAACATTTCCAGACATATCCAAAAAACCTGAAACAAAAGAAAATAAAAAAGATCACAGCGACAGGTTCAGCATGATTAAATGTTTATTTTACATTTTAGGGATGTTTTGTTTATTTATTCATAACCACAAAATCCTCCCTGTCGTCAGTGTCATTTAAAACAAAAATCAATTTCACGTCACAGGGGAATACTGTATCCAAGAAAAAAAATAAACAAATAATTTATATAAAACATGCAGTAATACCAAAGAAAATAGTGCAATATACTCCCCATGAATTACAGGCGTCCTTTCGAAAATAATATGGTATGGAGATATTATGGGTGTATTAGGAAAGCTGGTATAACGCACAATTACACCGTGTAGCTGAAGTATCCCACAACAGTACATTCCCACATATCCCAACAGTACGATCATAAATAAATACGGAAAACTACAAACAAAACCGAGGTTGTTCTAAATTTAGCCAAGCACTTGATATTACCAGAACAAATGTGCTACAAAATGATAGCAGACGGAAGTATTTTCCATTTTATGTAAAGGTACTAACATTTTACAAGAATCTCAGTGTTATTTTGGCACAGTTGGGTTACAGCGTAGCATAATTTTACACAGAGATGAAGGCACCAATATTCTATAGTGAATTTCATATGTGACTTTATGGTGATCTTTAACTGGTGTGTTCAGATCTACCTACCTCAAGTTTCTTGAGCAAGTTTTGTCAAATAAATAAATAGATAGATAGACAGATAAATACAAATAATAAAAATAATAGACAAAAATACTTCTCTAAAAGTCAGTGGGAATTTTCAATCATGCGTAACTTTATTTCTGTGCTTAGACCTTGGCTCTTTACCAGCGCAAATAAAGGGTATTTTGCAGGCATTACGAGGAAACCAGGGCTACAATCAAATATCAAATACAATGCCCTGCGTGCACTAAAGGTATGTGCCCCTTTATGTCCGTTTATCCTGATATAGTGGCATTGTGTATAAATACAGCACGCCAGGCAGGACGAATTCGTACTTCTTGTCTGCACAATTTAAGGTTTTTGCGTGCAATTTCAGTGAAAAGGTAGTTAGAATTATGGTCAGGGTTACTGGGCCTTTCATTGTGTCACATGAAAGGCAAAACGCAAACTTAGTATCTATCTATCTATCTATCTATCTATCTATCTATCTATCTATCTATCTATCTATCTATCTATCTATCTATCTATCTATCTATCTATCTATCTATCTATCTATCTATCTATCTATCTATCTATCTATCTATCTATCTATCTATCTATCTATCTATCTATCTAGCATTTCAGTGCTTCCATGCGCACATGCTACTGCATGAGTCAGCCCACACAATCAACTTGTTATCCTTGATATGTGCTTCACGGTGGCATCCCAAGTGCTCATGTTCTGTTCAGCAGCCGCTCGTGGCACTGAAATCATCGTCTAAAATCATATTTCTAAGTTTTTTTTTCCGAGTAATTGCAAAGATTAAATGGTTGGTTGGAACCATTTCATTGCTCACCCGCCCAATACCAAAACATTTCCTCAAGGAGTATTTTGCTTTGCTGTATTGGAAGCAAGGGTGGGGGCGGAACAACATAGTTTACATATCACGTGACACTGTATTAACAAATCAACAATTACCTTCCCTTTATTCTTCAGGAGTTGCTAAAACGCTTGCAAGAAGCGTTTGAGGAAAGCTCCATGGAAATGTGTGAGCGGAATCCTTTAAATCCCGGCTATGTTGGTTCTCTGTTAAATTTTGCTCCCCCTGAGTCGTTGTATTTCTCCAACTTGCGCGGTAATGGAGCCCATATACCCGGGCTGCATCAGCTCCCTTACAATAGGAGGGAGGTGTGCACGCTCCCGTGGACTTCCTCAAGTTCGTGCGCGTCTGGGCCAGCGGCACCACCACAGAGCCGCGCCTTCGGAGGCTACTGTCCGCCGTTTTTGTCCAATTCAGTGTCTTTAAACACAAACTCCTCGAGCGGCCACGTCAAGACGCATTTGGAGGAGTCTCCTCGATGCTTTCAGGACACAAGCCAAAAGACAGAGGAGTCTGGCAGTCAAGATGAAGTTTACGCCGGGGATCACGGGGTCCGTTACTCAGCTCTGGACAACCGGTCTCACGGTTCTGCGGCACAGCTTGATCCGGATACAGCAGGTCCACTGAACGTGAACGGCCCCAAACAGGAGGAGAATCCCATTCACACGTTATCCAGTAACCCATGCTCCAGGACGACTTTTGCTCAAGGTTAAGTAGTTACATAATTCTTCAGGCCAGATTCCTTATTTTATCAGCAGTGCTAGCTATTTTACTATAAAACCACACATTTGCAACAATATGGGCATGATCTATGCTTCTGTGTGGCCACTGTGTGGTTCTGTGGCTATAACTAATCTCCTATAAGGTTATTACAACAGGAATGCATACATGTGGCTATGATTTTATTTATTTTTTTGGTCCATGTATACTATTTAAAATGTCCCATAATAACCTTGTAGAGTCCTTTGCATGTGTGAGTCATTCTAATGTCAGGTCTTTTTTTCCATAAGCGCAGCAGATGTGGTTCCTTTTTCTTATGATCTTAATAAAATATGTAAGACGTTAGCCACGCTATAAGCAGCGCATTTGGGACCACTTATTTTCCTTCGCCTTATTTAACTGTGGCTGGAGGTGCTGTTAAAGTTTAAATCTTGTTTGCGCCTCTACTCTCTTCAGGTGCCCCGTGGTGCTCGTCGCAAGTGAAAACAAGAAAAAAGAGAAAGCCCTACTCGAAGCTGCAGCTAGCTGAACTTGAGAATGAATTTATGATGAACGAGTTCATTAACAGACAGAAACGCAAGGAGCTGTCAGACAGACTTGACCTTAGCGACCAGCAGGTGAAAATCTGGTTTCAGAATCGGAGGATGAAGAAGAAACGACTGATGATGCGCGAGCAAGCTTTCTCTGCATACTGATGACCTTTGGCCTTGATCCTGAGCATCGCATCAATAATGTAACGTTCTGCGTCCGCACTCCATGTTGCTAAATTGATTCCTCCAGTTGTGTTGGAGGAGTCACTGACTGGAATAATTTCCTATGTTCTTTTTTTTCTTTTCTCGAATGAATGAATCTCAACATTTATCAGCTGCACAGGTGGGAAAGGTGGGTGGACGGAATTGGTGGGCCGGGTTTCGTGTCTACAGTCGTGTCTGTCGTTAGGTCTGGGCGACTAAAGCACTTTGGTGAAGGTCATGGAAATACATTTGTTTTAGTTTAATTTAAATGCGCAGCTTCTGTTACGTTATATATTATACCTTCATCAAAAGGTTCCAGCATATTTGTAGTATAGCCTAACAAATGCAAAAAATAAATTTGCATTGGTGACTGAGACTGAGTAGATTTTTACGCATGCTGGGTCACTTTTGGCTTTAAGATTCTCCAAATGCGCCGTAGGCCACAGCTTCCAAACTGGTCTTAGCCGGCGGATGATAATCAGTCTATAAGCCCACTTGTTTCTCATCCAGCGCAAATATGAGACCAGCTTAAACGGAAATGTGGAACCATTTGTTTTTGTGTCTTTTGTATGACGGCCTTTGCATGTAGTGCAGCCTTATTGTAGAAGGCAACAGTCAAGTTCACGTTTACGATGTGTAAAACATTAGCAATAGTCAGCACTGCAAAATATATCTCATGATTGCATGCCCATCCCCTAATTGATGTTATTTAATCAAATGTCTGAATTATCCACCTTTTTTTTGTGTAAATCTGTTTAAAGAAGTAATGCGAAACTACTTTTCGCAGCGTATTTGGCGCTAGGAAGTGTTTGAAGCCCGCAAAAAAAGAAAAAGAAAAGAAAAAAGGTTTGTGGATGTGAAACAGTCTGATGGTGTCAAAACGCATAATATCTGTTGTAAATTAAATGTTTATCTTTTTTTGTTGTTGTTGTAGACCTCTGTATTGTCACAAAAAACGCACATATGTGTGATCTCAAGGTCGCATCAAAGTCATTCTAAAGCGGAAGATTTACATTTTTTGAAAATAAATACGCAGTTATAGTTTATTCCAAACTGGATTTGACTTATTTAATAGCAATTTCAGAATGCATGGTGTTGGTAAGTATAATATGAAGTTATACAAGTTTTTTTTTTTTTTTTTTTTTTTAAATCAAGGTAAATTGGTTTTGTACTGTGGATGCACCTGGAGATGAATGCATTTGTAAATAAAGATCCTTTAAAAAAGAATCGTGACCAAGTTATTTTGCATCATGATAGATATTTCATATTTATTAGGAATGATATTGGAAAGAAAATGTAACTAAAGACTTCACGCTTGTGCCGTTCACCGTTATTCATATAGCTTCGCTCCAGAGCTGATATTTAGCGTATAACCGAGCACTGATCTGCACCTCTTCCACGCTGCGTCACATAGATTTTAAAACTAAAGTCAGCGTCGTTTGTTTAGGAAATCTCAAAGCCTGCAGATGTAAAAGAACCATGAGAGGGCTGCCTTATGCGAGCGTAATCTTTCTCTAGAAATAAATTGTATCTCTATAAAATGTCTGTAGCATGGAGGAATATTTTTCTTTTATATCTGCACCTTTAACAGGCTATTATCTCTCTGCTCTCCAGCACTCACTTTAAATTGAAACCCCTCCATTCTGCATTTGGCTTTGGCATTTTATATGCGTAATTCCTCTGCACAGTGGATAACCCAGCAGCATTTCTCACCCACAAGAAAATCTCTGCATGCCAGTTGGAGGTTATTGCGGCTGTAACTAAATGAAATGGATGTAAATCAATATCTCAGCGACATCAAGTGAACTTTCTGCACCAGACAAGTCCATCCGTGCTCATTAGTGGTGCATGTGATATGGCCAAATCTAGCTCTGTCACTGTTTTCATTACCAAAACTCTTCGCTGGTGTTTCCACGGCGGACCTGCAGGTCACAAGTGGTCAGGGTAATTTTAAACGAAGAGAGACCGCGACTCTGCAGGAACGACCAGCCATCAGCAGAGCAGCACACGCGACATTACGGGAGAGTGAATCTATAAATGGTTCCCCTCGTTACATCATTATCACGTCATCATCACCGCATCACTGCAACTATTATGTTTCTGTTAAACTGCAGTCATAAGTTCAAGGAAGTCTGAATAACATTTTAGAGCTATAGTAATTTGTAATGAAACATAAAGATTTTTCCCCTCTCCTTACAGAGTTTCTGGGACTTTGGCATACTTTCAAACCACTGCAATTCATTCTTTTTGCCCTCACTGTTTTGCGGGCCTGTTGTGTGGTGCTTAGAAGCTTAACAGCCAGTTCTCCTTCCACAGAGTATTTCAGACGCCTGCAGTGGGTTTTCTGTGCGTCTCAGACATTGTTTGCTGCTTTATTGGTTTACTGCCTGGCTGCGTCACATAGCTAAGGCTTCCTTTAGATAGTTGGGGTGCCAAAAACAAAGTTAAGGTCAAGTTAGTAGACTGGGTTTCTATTTCTCACAATATCAGAAAAAAAGTCTTATGGAAGTTAGCTTTCGTGTGTCTATTTCAGCAATTGTGTTTCAAGTGGAACCTTTTAATGTTTTGCTTAATGTCACACGCCTTAATTAAACAAGCTGGACAACACGACGTTTAACCTTTTTGTAAATGCTTGGAACTTTAAAGCATCTCGTCTGCAGCCTGATTTGATATCTGAAATTTTAAGCTTAATACAGTCTTACACATTGCAACCTTTCCATGTAATAGAAGACGGCCAAAAAAGACAACCTAAAGCACACAAAACACCAAATTATAGCAACAACTCGTCTTAACTTAAAGTAAGCCATTAGTCTCATACCGCTATCAACTTTTCACTGCAATTATTTAAATTAATTAAATAATTAAGTTATTTATTCATGTGATAGTTACATAGATACAGATGTTTTGACCTCCTAACGCTGTGGAATATAGATGGAAGTAGTTTACTTTGGAACATTTTGGCCTAATTTTGGAAAATATCTTCTAACTGGCTAAAAAGGGATTATTATGAAATGTAGTTAGATTGGATACAGAACAGGACCAACGAGCTCGACTTTAGCCCCAGATAATATTAAAGCTGTCTTTAAGCGAACACCACATTATGTTTGAAGCCCGACAATCGATTAACCTTTAAAAACAATATAAGCCCACAGAGAAATATGAACTACATTTTTCCTGCATATTTTCCTGCATATATATATATATATATATATATATATATATATATATATATATATATATATATATATATATATATATATATATATATATATAAAACTAGCCCAGCGCCTGATGCAGTTTCACAACTGCAGTATCACAACTACAATAAAAAAAAACTACATTAAGTGGAGTCATATAAAATAAAATAAAAATCGCCAGGTAATAAGTTAAAAATACAGAAAGAGATGAAACAATAAAGTTATTAATACTTACATAGACAAAAAAAATTATTGGAGGAAATTTCATTTATATGAGAGATCCGTTCATCAGTGGTATAAGTTCGTTTTCTCCACCAAGAAGGAGGAAAACACTGCAAGCATGGCTGCCCAGGGGCAGTAAAATGATTTGGCTGCAGAGGCTTGTTGGTGAAAAAGGCTTGGTGGACATCAGCTACACCACAGACGGTCAAAGTCAGTTGTTTTGGACTTGGCAATGCTGGATGTGCTTACCGATTTGTGCTTGCGCTTGATTTATGTTTCTGTGGAAACCAAAAATCAACATTTCTGTGTTTGCAGTAACATTCCATGGGGTTGTTTACTTGTCTGTTTTCAAGTGCATCCATCTGTACTTAAAATTGGGGATTTTTTTTTTGTTTTTTGTTTTAATCAACAGGACCATTTAATGGGCAGATATTTCTAAACAACGAGTTTTATTAAAAATGGACTCTGCAATGTAACTGGGGTGTAATATATACAATAATCTATTGCAGCCCAGTCTTGTCGTGGTCTTTTATTTCTTTGTGAAGCCTCAGCTTTTTGTCACCATGGTGAAGGCCAAGAAGCTTGTCAGTGAAACTGAATTCAAACGATTTCCTTCTGGCGTTTCTGTATGTATTTAACTCTACTCAAACCACCATGGTGCACAGTGATTATGCGCAATGAGCCTTAAATGTATTTGCATAAAATCTGACTTGGTGAATCACATATTCCACAGGCTGCTTCTTCTTCTTTTTCTTTTTTTCAGCGCGAGTAGGTACGGTAGCCTTGTTGCCATGCCATTTAAGCTTTGCATTGAGGTTAACGTTAATATTTCCGCTAACTGTTGCCACAAACATATAAAGCCAAAATTTACTGACACCATCACTGCGTATGACCGTCATTACACATCATTACAAGATGAGGATGATGTTGCAGCAAAGCTTTTAATTAAATATTCCAGCGATGGTTTACACATTTCTTCTTTTTTTTTTTCGTGAGCTATAGGGCAAGAAGGCTGGAGAGGAGTTGCCTCTGCAGCCAGAGAGCCAATGGAGTCTCTTGCATGCGCTCACATGAGTTTTTCCGGACAGTTTTTAATGACTGATATTGATGTATGGTAATTTCTTAGCTGGATCACATGACACAATTACCTCAAGAATCGATCAAGATGTATTGCAGGTCTGCCTACGTTTCCGATTTTTTCTCCCTGGCGGGGTCTTTCCACACGCCTGTGGTGCTATAGATGGACAAAGTTTAACACAGCAAAGCTGCCAATTCTTTCCTCTGTTGCAGAGAGGAAAACTGAAGAGGAGATATGACGGAATATGATGATCGCAGCTGTGCGTCAAATATGTTTTTACCGAGCTGCACTTATTACGTTTCGTCGCCCGATTTTACATCAGTCTCCTCCTTTCTACCCCAGACGACTTCGTGTCAGATTAATTTCCCCTATTCTTCCAACATAGCTCAAGTCCAACCTGTTCGAGAAGTCGCTTTCAGGGATTACGGACTGGACCATCCCAAATGGCACTACAGGGGCAATTACACGTCTTACTACTCAACGGACGAGATAATGCACCGGGACTTAATCCAGTCCTCCAGCAGCAGGGCGGATGTGATATTCAAAAACGAGTCCTTGTATGGCCACCACGGAGGGACAGGCTCGCCTTGCAATTTCTTTACCAGCGTGGGTCGAAATGGGGTTCTTCCCCAGGGCTTCGACCAGTTTTTTGACACTCCTAACTCGGACAAGCCTAACGCGGAGCTCCCCAAACAAAAGACAGACTATAACGTTCCGGGTGATGCTGCGAATAACAATCAGGCTGTGACCAAAGTAGAACAACACAAAGCTGATCAAACCGGGAACGTCGACGAGGACTCGTCCTCCAACTGCAGCGACAAGATCAACCAGCAAAGTAAGTCAGTAAGGATATACTCCTATGTGTGTTAGACATAAGATGAACAGTCCAGACTTTTGAGGGTCTGGACTGCGCCATTTCCACCGCCGTGACCGTGCAGGGTTATATGCTTCTTTATAAGCATGCAAAAGCTTTTATATCCCAATAAGATTTACTTTACGGTTGTAAAGGTATTTACAATGGGAGACCGTTAAGTAACCATACTTAAAGGCCTCCCTGTGTCCAATAATAATACCTTGTTGCCAGGTTTGATTTGTTTTGATAGGACATTAGAGGAATTTTTTTGTGACTCTATATTTTATATTTTAGTGCTGTGCAGATATAGAAATACAGTGAGGAAATGCAGACTGGGATGTAGTGGAAAGTAACCAAACACCAACATGTAGATGATCATTTGCGCAATATTGACTAATTTTCACGGGAATACCTGTGTTGGTTAGTTCAGTCTACGCTCATGTGTGTGTGTGTGTGTGTGTGTGTGGATGAGGAAGTTTTTTTTCGGAAATAAAGAAGTAAATCTATTAATCTGCTCTCTTTGCTATATTTCACATTTGGGAATTTTGGCATTTGATGTAAAATCTGGGAAAACTTTTTTTTTTTGTCTTCCACAGGTTCATCAACCAAGTCCAGGAAGAAGAGGTGTCCCTACACCAAATACCAAATCCGAGAACTTGAACGAGAGTTTTTCTTCAATGTGTACATTAACAAAGAGAAGCGACTCCAGCTGTCCAGGATGTTAAACCTGACAGATCGGCAAGTGAAGATTTGGTTTCAGAACAGAAGAATGAAAGAGAAAAAGCTAAACCGCGACCGTCTACAGTATTTCACTGGGAATCCTTTGTTCTGATACCTGGCATGTCACACACAGACACACTCACACACGGAGGAAAAATCGCAAACACTTTTCCAAGTGGCTTCATGGTCAGCTGTGATTAACAGTTGATTTCACAAAAATCTGGCTTTAAAAAATTAATTTGCCAATATTTTGTATCATTCGAATTTTTGCACCAACTCTTGCGTTTATTTGTATTCTCATATTTTTGCGTTATCGGTAGCAGAAATTTCCGCAAATTGCGAGCTGTGCTTCGAAATAATTTATATTAAATATATGTAGGCTTCTTTCTTCTCTGAATGTATATTTGTAAGGCGCATGCAATGCAAATTGTGGTGTGAATAAAAGTACGAAAATAAATATGCTGTCACGAAACCGATCACAAGGAAGTTTTACAAAAAACTAAACTAAACTAAAATAAACTTTACATCAGGAAAGATTTCGGAATAATTTAGGCGCTTGCAGTACTGTAATGTCCCGTTATTTCCTTTGCTTTGAAACACTTGATTGTTTACTAAACCTTGAACCGTCTAGACACTATAATAAAAGTAGCTGTAAATGTCTAAATAGGGGGCTATTGGACTTTGGTGTCCCAACCCCCAGACCACATGAGGACTGATTCTCCTTCCTGTCTTAAAGTACTTTAACTCCAGGCTAGAAATGCTTTGAGAATTTCTGCGCATCGTTTCCATATTTAGCTCATGCTGGCATATTGGGGCACTTGCAACTAAAGAAATGGAAGACAATGGAAAATATTGTAACCAGGCCGGTCTTCTAGAAGGATAAGTATTTCTTTTTCATGTTTCTCTCCTTTTGCAGTATTATAAATTGGATATATGTTTCTTTGATGGCTCTGAATCTGCGAAGAAGAAAGAAACGCAAAGTGAGCTTATAGCACGAAATTTGTACGATCTTCCTTGTGTAGGTAAGGCGATTCCATCTTTGTGTAGCTTCCCCATACACGAACCATCAAGCTGCCTCTGCAAAAAGTGAAAAAAATTTTAATTCCATAAAAATATAAGGTGCTGTATATCCTTCTTTCCCTTTTTTTGTAACCAGTAGGGGGGACGAACTAAATAAATGCACCAATTTCGGACAAAACAGCCGCTTTATTGATAATTCATTTGTTAAAAGATAGGCGATCGCTCATTTATGCAACAAAAATTACTCCCATTTTTTTAGTGTCAGAAAAAGAAAACCTCTATAGATTGATTTTTGCTAATTTAGTACCACCTGGGTTACATTTACCGTTTTCCTCCCCAAAAGGATATTAGAAAACTGAGGTTTCATTAAGCATTTAGAAGGGTGCTCAGCTTGTCCTGCAGTGCAATTGCATTACCAACTGTGAGGGGCGTTTCACTTCAATTCTCAATGTAGCCACAAGAGGGCACTCTCAGTTTTTACAGCCATGCAGTCAATTTAGCATCAACCCCACATGAAAGCCTGTCAGTGAGGGAATAATCAGTTCAGCAAGCTGTTTGTTTACATTTCTATTTTAATTATTACTTCTTCCAGTCCACTAAATTCAGCATGGTTTGCATGTTGCTGTTTTTTTTATTTAAAGTCTCATTCCCTTCAAAGTATTTAATCCTCTTTTTTAATGAACTGATAAAAAAAACACCGACAAAACGAGAGCCTTGAGTTTCCTTAAAGAAAATAAGAACACTGTTAATCAGAGAGCGCATTACATTTTGCTAAATGCTTCTCTGAAGGGATGAAATTCCTCATGAGTTTCATGAAAACAGCAAACACAATTTCAAATAATTGTCATGCGTATGGAAATGACACCAGGAATTTAATTCTGTTCTGTTTCTTTGTTTGTGATCCGCATCATAAAGGCTTAGACCTTTACCTGAGGGCCGCATGGGCCTGAAGCCCAGTAATATCTCATGTTTATGCTAAAAGGAGCAGTGAATATTGACCCACATTTGCTATATATGTATTTCTGTTCAAATATATATATGTATATGTAACATATATATGTAACGTTTGTTTCTTTTATTTTCATTGTCAAATTCTCGTCTATTTGAGTCTAGCTATTTACTTTGAAAAAAGGTACAGGTACTCCGAATAAAGACCGAGTATTGTCGCAGTTTTTAAGCTTTCTTGTTTTGCTTGTAACTAAAATCAGCCAGTATTTTTTTTCTTGTTTTTAGATTTTTTTCTTCGTTTTTTAAATTTACGCGCTCTACTCCAATGTTTTAAATACAAGTGAATCTCTTGTTATTTTCTTTAAATTATCACTGTTAATATTTCCACTGTTCACAAGACTAATAATGACAGCAATGATGTCAACGAGTGTACGTATCCTTCGGACCATTTGACTTAAAAATATATTTTGGATCAATGTGATGTATAAATTGTTGATTTTGCCTGAAGAACATACTGGCTTCCAAATGAGTTTTTTTTTTATTGTATGTTAAAATGTTATCTTTGCAACATTATTGGAAACATGATAATTAAAAAAGAGAAAAAATATATATCCATTATCATTTGCCTCATTTAACTGTTGTAAAGCTTTATTTAAATAGCTATAACTGCTGCATATGGTATTCTAGGTTTTTCTTTTTTGACAATCCCGTTTGCATAGCACACGTGTTTGTTTACAGCCAACTATAAATATCGAAGAGCCTTAAAGAGAGCCAAACGGACGTTACACATCTTCTCTTACACACTGTATAATTATTTCAAGCTTGTGCCATTACTATCAAACACATAAGGATTCCCAGTGTTACACTTTTTTGTAAAGGCCGTTAGAGTCAGTGGCAATTACTGGCATGACCTCTGATTTGTGATCATGAATAATTTCGTGGACAGTGTTTTTTTTCCTCTCTAGTTTAACAGGCAGTACACGTTTGCCTTCCTTACGAGCGAAAACACTGAGGTATTTAGAGAATACTGTGACTGTGAGCACAGCCACGGTCAAGCAAGTCATTTCGAACTCTGCTTCTGAGCGTCAAATACGTTAAACGAAAGCACAGATATGATAATCCTGGAGAAATAGCTTCATGGATTAAGTGTGAAGTGTGTAATAACGACTGCGAAAGCTATAACGTTGACCTTCACGTTTTGACCAGTCTGTGAGTTCAATTTGTTAAAGGTATGTGTCCACCTTTCACATCATCTTATGGATCTTCTGGGTATTTTAAAAGCTGATATCTTCCAGGAAATCGTTTCCTCTTTAATAGAGAGATTCTGTGCACCTTAATTGAAAAACATCAACAACAATAAGCCTTTCATAAATTGTCAAATCATAATGAAAAAAGACCAAAATTTAAATAGATGAAAGGAGAAAGCGTTACATTTATATTTAGTTTATTCTTTTGTTACATATTTAATACAAATACAATCGAGACATATGCTGCATATATGCAGGGAAAGCACTCTTAATGATTACAGCGGGTGAAGTGTGAAAGGTTAAATAAAAATATAATCAGCATTATAATCAGCAGAGCTGCTAAATTTTTTCCAAATAGTCTGCAGTTGTCGCCTATGCGCCATGCAGGCACCCCCACCCCCCTCCCCATACACCTACACACACGCACACCTACACACACACTCTCTCTCTCTCTCGAGAATGTCTTCCACACAAAGAGACACGCATATTCTTCAAGTTGGTGCACTGATAAACACTTAAACACTTCACAGCGCGTCTGTCGTTATAAATCTGAGACTAGATTGAAGGCGAGCAGTTTTTGTTGGGATTCAAATGGTCCTTTCGACGCATTTCTTTCAATTTCGCGAATAAGTCTCCAAGTCCCGCGATGCCCATTGGAAACGTGCGCGACTCTCTGCAAAAACCAATTTCAAGTCCGTGTTGTAGGTGTCGCTGTTGACCACGTCTGCATCCGCAGTGCGAGTGTGTGCAGAGAGAGGAGGCTGCGTCTCAAGGCCATTTTCAAATCTCATTGGTGGGCTTGTCATGTGGTTGGGAGGCATCCTGACTTACAGATTGTTTTTCCTAGATATGTCAGCTTACAAAGGACATCTCTCTCCTCCTAAGAACTTAAATTCAAAAAATGTCCTTCTCCAGTAGCTCTCCTGTGGCAAATACATTTTTAGTGGACTCTTTAATTGGTGCTTGCAGGACGGACAGCTTTTACTCCAACAGCAACATGTACATGCCGTCTGGCTCAGAAATGGGAACTTACGGAATGCAAACCTGTGGACTCCTGCCGTCTTTCGGCAAAAGAGGGGAGGTCAACCACCAAAATATGGGCATGAACGTCCACTCGTACATACCTCAGATAGATAACTGGACTGATCCGAGCAGACCCTGCAGAATAGAGCCTCCCAATCAGATGTCAAACTGTACATTTTCACAGAGCATAAAGGAAGAGAGTAATTGCTGCATGTACTCCGATAAGAGAGTACAAAAAGTCAACTCTTCAGAAGTCCCCGCATATTCTAACGTTATTCCTGAATCGTGTCCGGTCGATGGTCCCGAGATCCCGGTTCCCGGCTATTTCAGACTGAGCCAAACTTATGCGAACGGGAAGCATCAGGAAAACTACTGCCATGAAGCACCGAGTCCAAACGCGACACTGATGCAGCTCAGCCGGGTCACCCCGAAACCGCAGCCCTCGTCGGCATCTTCTAATTTCTCAGAGGTGGATAAAAAAATTGAGGACGCTTCGCAAAACCCGGAAACCGCAAGAACGCCGGTCCCCGTAGAAAGCCCGGATCCCAAGTCGGGCTCGGAGGAGAAAAACTGCTCAGTGGAAGCGCCTGTGTCCAGTCCTGAGCTGCTACAGAAGGAAGGGAAAGGTGGGTTGGCTGTAATGAAAGCTTTTATCTCGTGGCGCGGTGCTGAGAAGGCTCCAGCATCATAAAACCAAGTATAAAACACAAACAACCCTAAAGTCGTAATGTTTAATGAGAGTCTTTCTCAGGTTGCACTGATAGGCAACAGAGAATGGTTTTACCATGCAGCATGAAGCCTATGTCCTCCTGTTCTTTGGATATTTAAAGTATATGCATAGTTTTTTTTATGCATAATCTTGTCTTATGTGAGCATATTGCACAGCTTTCATAAATTGAAGCGTTAAATCAAGCTCCACTGATTAATTCTAACATCTGTTTGGCAAATGTGTGAACTTTTAAGTTTTGGAAAAAGATGAAAAATGATGAGGAGAAATCTCACCCTAATCCCAATCCAGTTTTGACAATTTGCAAAATTAGTAAAATATGTCAAATTCCTTATGAAATCTTACACGATTCATATTAATTCACCATTTAAATCAGGATTTACAGAAAAAAATCAGGCCATATACACACGTATTCCTCGTGTGCGGGTTGATCATTTGGGGTTTCATTTCATTTTTGTTTTATTAGTGATGGCATGTGAGTGACTAATAACAACCCATGCATTTTATTTATTCAGGGAAATGTTGTGCGTTATTTCCCAGAGGTGAAATCCAAAGCAACTGATGAGCTTTTTGTTCGAGAGGACGCTCAGTGCGTCGCTAAAAGAATAAAAAATAAATAAATAAAAAATAAAACTCTGATCTCTCTGATTTGAATCCCTGCAGACTGCAAGAGTGACACTCTCACAAACAACTGGCTGACAGCAAAAAGTGGGAGAAAGAAAAGGTGCCCGTACACAAAGCACCAAACCCTGGAGCTGGAGAAAGAGTTTCTCTTCAATATGTACCTGACCCGAGAGCGCCGCCTAGAGATCAGCAGGAGCGTTAACCTGACCGACAGGCAGGTCAAGATCTGGTTTCAGAACCGCAGGATGAAGCTGAAGAAAATGAACAGGGAAAACCGCATCCGTGAACTGACCTCAAATCTCACCTTTTCGTGAGGCTGCATGTGTTAGCTGTCTTTCCTCCTCCTCGTCCTTCACATATTGATGCTTCGCTGGCATTGGACATTTATCTCAAAATCAACAAAACTGTGACTGTATTGCCAATCTTAGTATTTTTTTATTTGTATTATTATTATTATTATTATTTTGCGTGGCGTCCTGTATTTGTTTTGTTTCATCACAGGGTAACACTTTGTGGTCTTAAATTATTGGAGGGTGCTTCTCTTCTACTAAAAAGACATGGGTATCCGGCCGAGCTGTGGAAAAGGTTACTCTATTTCAGTCATGAAAGCACATTTATTGTCGTCTAGTGCAACATTTGTTTAAGAGTAAGTGCAAGCCGTGTGCTCGATAGTGAAATGTTTCTATGGGCTTTAAAGTGATGGAAAAAATACAGAACAAAACAATGTCAATCTGTGAATTTATTGCATGTTTGTGGCATGTATCTTGCAATAAATATATTGTCAAAGGATCTTGTTTTAGATTTGTCCGTGCTACACGGTCTCTGCTCGGCAAATAGCCTGCCTCAGTTTTAGCAGCACTGTGAGTATCCGAAATTAATTTGCACTGACGCAAGCATTGTTTTCCTTCAAAAAACAGTCCCATTCCGAGCAGGAAAAGGCAAGAAAAAGAACAATTTCCTCCAAGCTTGTTGCACAAAACAGCAGGCAAAACAGTGTGAACGCGTCCCTCATTTGTGTTTCCAGTTTCGCCAAACGTTTGTAATTATGCCGCAACTTCATCTGAAGACGAGCCGAAACAGTAATCTTCTTAAATTCAGAAAATATATTCTCACGCTCATTTACGCGTAGGCTACTCGAGGAAGGCAAATTCTGGCTAAAAACGACTTAAAAATAAAATCTAAGTAAAATTAGTATGAATAACAAGATAGAATTCCTTTAAAGTCTATTTGGATGCAAAAGAAAAAGCTCAGCAAAATCATGCGAAGATGGCTGATTGTGTAATGGAATAAAGTTGGCTTAGCTTTTGGGTGCAGGCCTGTTTATAATTAAACTCACTGCCTATAAGGATTAGAGGACGGAGTAAATTACTTTCGGCTCTCCCTTTCTTCGTGGCGAAATCAGCCTTCATTTTCATCTACAAAATAACTTCGTGTGGCCTTCTTAGCTTGCCACAAATCTTTTTCAAACGTCTGATAACGTAACACAATTTCTGATCCCCTCCTCAGATTTGACCTAGTTCTTATCTCCAAGTGTTCACTGAAGGTCGAGACATTCTGCCTTACACAGTGCGAGAAAATGACATAGTGAAAAAAGTAGGTAAAAAAGTAGAAGAAGAAACATGGCAAGATGTGCAGGCTATTAGTGCTAAATTACACCTTTCAGAGAGCAATACACACATGGACTCCTCCAAGACTTTTTTTTATTGACGGCATGTATAATCACACGCACCTCGTAAAACATTTATTGATACATTATTACTCTCCTTTCAATGAATATAATAATTTCACGACTGCTGCTGTTTCCGCCTCAACTTAAAAAATTAAACCAACTCAGAAAATACGTTTCCTTGCCAAAATATTAACAATGGATACACCGCACTGTGAGCTGAAATGGCGTCTTTTTTATTTTACAACATGTTATTACATCTATTTTACGAGGACTCTGTAAGTCCATAAACCATTTTACTGGGATTGAGGGTATCGGGACAGGACGATATTAGAAGAGCTTTTTCCCCCTTGAAGGATTAAGACAGAAGGAATCCGTGTTTTTGGACGCCGTGTGTGCTTTTTGGTGGAAATGTTTCTTACTCCTTTAAAAAACAGAACAACAGACTGTAGGTTTTGTTGAAACATCCTCACATCTTCATTAAAAAAGGGGCATTTTATTTGAGCGTTAGTTTTCTCCCACTAGTCACATCAGAATGGGCTTTTTATTATTTGAGAAATGAAAAGCTAAATTAAACCTGACGAAAAAAAAAAAAGGGGTGGGGGGGGGGGGGGGGGGTGAGCAAGGGCAGGATTGATTTACTCGCTGTATTGGTAAATATGACCACGTGATCCATGTAACCAATCCCTGTAGATGCGGGCCAGCAAAAATACTATGATTGTTCATAAAGGGAAGCTTCCCGTAACAGTGCAACCCTTATTATATGAGTAGGAAGCCATCAAAAATGTCTTCCAGTGGCACTCTCAGTAACTGCTATGTGGACGCTATAATGGGGCAGGAGCCGGAGGATGTGTACGGTGCTCGCTTTATTCAGGCTCCACACGCGATGACCCCGAGGCCGTCAGGTGCTGGGGACAACGCAGACTTTTCCTCGTGTAATTTTGCACCGAAATCCGCTGTTTTCTCGCCGTCCTGGTCCTCAGTTCATCCTCAGGGGATTTATCATCCATATGTGCACCACCACCACCACCACCAGTCCCATCTGCCTGCGTCGGACGGGAGATACGTTAGCGTCCGACCGTGGATGGACCCCATTTCGAACCACGTTTCGTTCGCCGGATTCCCCTCCAGCAGTCGGTCGTACGGGACAAAGCCAGAGGTCTTGCCAGCTAAATCTTCAGATTGTGACACGTTGGAAGCGGAGGCTCGGCCGCTTGCTGGCGAATTCACGTGTGGAGTATCGGAGTGTCCAGAAAAAACAACCAAAGAACACAGTGGAAGTGAGCTTTCGAGCCACAGCGAACCCAAAGAGGAAAAACAAAAACTTGACCCAAGTAAGTAAACGAAATAGCCGGTGCTGATTTACAACTTTAAGAACTGTATGAGCCGGGTGTGTAAAACTGGAGGTTTTACTAACCTATAAAAGTGTCTCGTACTATACTGTTGCTCCGAAAGGGGAGAACCCGCCCTACAAGGGTTATTGCAGGGATCCTAATGTTTTTCATGTCACGGGACACCCGAAATAGATACACAACTTAATATTTCGATAAGACTGCATCTAAAGAGACTTTATACCTAAGTACAGATCTATTCCCCTCTGTTGGTGCACGGGGGCAATCGGTACAAACAGGAAATCATGTAATCGAAATAGTCCTCTTTGGACATAACAGGCAACAGTTCTCATTTTCTTTTGCTTCAATGAAACCGACCGCAAGTCTCTGAGCCCCATTAAGTAAAAACAATGGCTATGGTTTATTAAAGGTTACAATAAAAAGGGGAAAAACCAAACAACTAATCACATGTGTATTTACTTTATGTGTCTTTAGGTAACCCTGCAGCAAATTGGATTCACGCACGCTCGACGAGAAAGAAGCGATGTCCCTACACAAAATATCAGACTTTAGAGCTAGAGAAGGAGTTCCTCTACAACATGTATTTGACAAGAGACCGGCGCTATGAAGTCGCTCGCATACTCAGTTTAACGGAGAGACAAGTGAAGATCTGGTTCCAGAACAGGAGGATGAAAATGAAGAAGATGAACAGAGAGAGGAACGGCAAGGAGCAGCTATAAGTCCGGTGCTGGTGCCGTTTCACACATTCTGACGTTTGTACCAAGGAAGCCATGTGAACAATTATAATGATTTTTGATAGGAGCCTCCTTAGCCATTTTATTTTTTTTAATCTTATTATTATTATTATTATTTTTAACATTTATTAAGTGTCAGCGTTCTGGGGTTATTTGGCCAAATATGCATCACACGTGCAAAAAATTTGCCTTGATGAGACCCACAGAGGATTTGTCGAACAATGTTTCAAGCCAACTGAAAGTTTTACGCAACAAAGTGGGATGTTTACGCAGCAGGAAACATGTATGTGTATTGCTGTTATTTGGAGTTGTGTGTGTATATATATATATATAAATATAAATATAAAAAGAATTCAGAGCAACTACTTCGACTGCTGTCTATGTCACTACACACACGGGACGCAGTTTTAGTAAAGCCAGAATTTACCCAGTTTTAACGACATTTTGCTTAAAATCTTTGTTTTTAAAACCTCCTAAATTATTTTTTAAGCTTTCATACAGTTCATGACAAGGTGCCATGTTTAGGAAAGGAAAAATCTCCCTTTAGTCTAAATCAAAAATAAATGCATAAAGATTTTATCCTTTATTCGTATTTTTGACATGTTGACGTAAGCACCTTGCTCTTTAATTTATTTGTATTAGACCAAAGCATATCCCCTAAGGCCTTACTTATCCAAATGCGGTTTATCGAGGCCATGTAACCTAATAGAGAATAGCACTATTTAACATAATATTAAATATGTAATGGCTGGATGTTCTTATTAGCAGCCCACATATTAAAATTATATTAACCCCCCACTAAATATTATTTAAAACATCTTTAAAAATAACTTTAAAAAACGGAAGATTTTAGTGTTTTTTTGAAAAGTAGTGCTCCAAGTCATAAAATGTTTGCTATTGGGAGAGGTGTTGCGGCGAATTTCCAATTTATGGTCCAACTTGTACGAACAATTACTTTAAAGCAGGAAGAACCGCGGTCCAATAAAGCTATAGAAATGGCTAGACGTCTGGCCTAAATTACTTTATGGGCCTGGCCAGTAATTACGCTCTCCTTTGAAAAACCCTTTTTCCTGGGTGTTTGCGTCTGTTGCTGACAAACAGAGTGTAGACACTTTTCCATGGGGTGTCTGGTCGATGAATTGTTTTAGAGGAAATCACCCCCCACCTTAATGGTCACGTGTATTCATCAATTGCACTTCCCACCGATGGGAAAAAAAACTTAACTTTGACTGCTGTGTGGTGCAGTCTTATCTTCTGATGGGACTGTGTACTGAAATGGTCAAGAAGAGCACGTGTCTTAATTGTACTTTACGGGCAGGAGCTAACACGCTTTGTTTTTCTTTGTTCTTAAACCACCTTCAGTGGAACTTGTTGATTAAAACAGGAATCCAGAAAGTTGCAGATCTAAAAGCAATCTGTTTACCTTTACTGGAGCTTCAGGGCCCCTGGAAAGAATACCGGGAGCGCTAGAGGGCGATGTTGTCCTTTAAGTCTCAGCTAAAGCAGCCTATTCACAGCTGGAACACGTAGACAAGGCAAGGTCCATACCATTGTCCATGTTTTTACTGATTTATATCATAAACGTCTTATGCCCTGATGAACGTGTGTGAAGAAGAGCGCTCTACTTTTAATAGTTCCAAAACCTGAAAGCCCCATTTTTCTAATCGGTTATTGCAGCACCCTTATACTGATTTTGAAATCTCCTGACAGCTCCCAGGCCCCATATTTCAGCAATATGTCACACATTTGCACAAAGGAGAAGCCAAATTTAATCGTTAGAGGGAAGGCTTTCTGAAGGCAGAAGCAGACCCAGCCCACCGTGTAAATGCAGAGAAAATAACAACAGAGACACTGATCTTTCACAGATGGTTTTTTCCTTTAAAGGGCATGTCTCTGAGCCTCGTCGTTTTATTATTATTAGCCTGCTATTGTTATTGTTAAATAACCAGCGAAGTAGCCTGTCGTTTTTAGACTGTCCCATAGTGTCCTGCTTGTTGTAAGATAAGATAAGATAACATTTATTAGTCCCACACGTGGGAAATTTGTTTTGTCTATTTGTTGTGATACTATTAATAATATTACTACTACTTAAAATGTAAACTGTAGTGCTTTCTGTTTCACAAAGCTCACATTAAAATAAGTAATTACAGTTTAAAAATGGCGTCAATTCACTGACAATAAAACACACCAAGTACACTCAGATTTAGCTTTCTTTTTATATATAAATCCAAGTTGTTTTGCTTTATTTTTACACCTTACACTCATTTCGTGAAATAAAATGCAGCTTATCCTTCTTCTGCTGTTTGTGCGTTTTAGCGCAGTTATGGAGCCATAAAGAGATGTTGCAGCACATACTGCTGTGAGCATCACTTTAGTAATCACTATTGAAACGGCTGAACACACGTTCAACTTGGTTGTTGTTTTTTCTTTTTTTGAGACTACACTGTTTACACACACGAGGAATGGATCGAATTCTGTCTCTGCAAAGGAAGCTGCTTACCCTTTAAATAATGCGAATAGTTAGAGACCGTACTGGTTCAATTACTGGTTCAAAGGAGAATAATAGACCTAGAAGGAGCATGGGAGTAACATTTTAGTACGTCTGTCCGTCTGACGTTATTGTGTACAGTCACTACAGCAGGACAAAAACAACAGAATATATATATATATATATATATATATATATATATATATATATATATATATATATATATATATATATATATATATATATATATATACATACATACATACATACATACATATATATATATATATTTCATATATATATATATGTATGTATGTATGTATGTATGTATGTATATACATATATACATACATACATACATACATACATATATATATATATATATATATATATATATATATATATATATATATATATATATATATATATATATATATATATATATATATATATATATATATATATATATATATGTATATATATATCCGTGTGTCTGTGTGTATACATACTGTGAACAGGGACAGTTTTTTAGTGAGCACTGCATGCAGACTTTTCCCGTATTAATGTTATGCGTGTAGGCCAAGATAATCAGGGCAATTTAACATAAAAAAGAGTAAAACGTAAAGTGATAACTTTATTAGAAAAAACGACGTAAGACACATAATACACCTTTTTATTTTATTTTATTTTATTGTTGGGAGAACTGTGTGCGCATTAAAAAAACGAAGAAAAAAAGAAGACGAAAAGAAAACAAATGTGATGTATGAGTTTTAAAGTTCGCTTGTCAGGAATGAATTTTAATGTCTCCTCTCCCCCACTCGTCCCAATATAATTTTAGATTTTTAATATGTTTTTTTTAATGATGTATTGTTATAAATATGCTTATGAATTTAACCGCTTTTGTTTTCATAGCGACTGCAACGAAACAAGCATAGAATATGACTATATATTCTAGATCCTATTCAACAGATCCTGGACGTTACACGGTGTTTCTATGAGAATAGAGCTGCGGATGAATATAGAATGACAATGCGGAGGAACACTAAATGACACTTCTCCAAAAGCGAATGAAACACTGCGGTTTGATAAAAGTGTGGGTAGGCAGCCTCTGGCTGGTCAGGAGTAATGTGACGAGGAATTTGTAGCTCAGAATGGGTCACAAAGACAGATAGAGTCAGTGTGCTTGGCAAATAATGACACAAATGTGCCTGTAAGCATTAACTTAGTTCACCACCCTTTTTAATATTTAGTTTCTTGAAGGCAGACTTTGACATGATTCCAGGATCTGAATTTATGTCTCTGAGAAAATCAGTGTCGGCCTATCAATAAGCATGCAGCACTAAACCTGTCAGTGAAAGCCACTTGGCAAAAGAAGGAGAAAAAGAAGAAGAAGAAAACGATTTTTAAACTTTGCAAAGCCCTAATTGTCGTTTGCAGAATAACTGATATGTGATTGATTCATTTATATAAATGTATATTATGTGGCATGCCGAAACGCTTAAAGTCGTGCAACAAGATATATGTTGGGCGCAAACAAAGAGGCGCCGACATACAGTGAAAAAATGACATTGATATGTCCCATATGTGTGTGTGTGTGTGTGTGTGTGTGTGTGTGTGTGTGTGTGTGTGTGTGTGTGTGTGTGTGTGTGTGCCTGCATAGATAGATAGATAGATAGATAGATAGATAGATAGATAGATAGATAGATAGGTTAAAAGTACAGTAAAAATGCATCAGTCTATTTCCCTCCAAAAGAAAGGCCTTCAAGTATAGTCTACATTACAGTAACGTCATAGTCGCAATGCAATGTGATTTAACAAATCCTGAGGTCTTGCATCTTTCTCCCTCTTTCACAGGGACACACGCGGGGAGAGAGAAAGGAAAGGGAGCTATAAGACAGGAAACCAGAGCCATTGCTCGGGCTAGCCTAACTATAAATCGCACGATGCTTTCTCCGGCGTGCCACCAGATGAAAGAGAGTGAAATACATGAAATTCCTCTTTGGTGCAGTCGTAGACACATGTGCAGAGACTGCATGCAGTTGCAGTATTTAGGTCTTTAAGTGTTGAGTTTCAATTACACGAAAAAACTTTCACACCATAGTGTATCTCTGTCTCTAATAATAAACAACAGCTGGCCTGTAAGAGGGTGGGAAAAAGCCGTTGATATGCAATATCATTTGGAAACACAAAAGTCCCGCATCCGTTGAAAATCTGTCCTCCAGGACAATGACTGAACATCCACGGGAAAAGGCCGGCGACAAAGCATTAGACTTTTAATGAGGGAAAAAAGGTGTAAATTATACTTGCTGGTTTTATTGTGTGGCGTTTTCCTAGCATCTGCTGCACAGGCCGTGAACTCACAGATGAGAAATAAAATAAAATAAAGGCACAAAGTTGTTCTGTATTTTATACAAGAAATATTTGGTTTCTCAAAAGATTTTGTTTCGTAAAATCTCCAGTTTCTGCAAAACGTTAAACATCAACGTGATCTATGGCAGATTATGCATTTTAACACTGTAATATCCAAACCTCGGATCAGTTTGATTTTGCCAAATATTTAATAATAATAAAAAAGATTAATCTCATATACTTAATCAGACTCGTTTCTTAGTTGTTCTGTACACTTTGCATGAAGTTTTAGATTTTTGAGTGATGCAAACGACGACAGAAAAAAAAAACAACAGGGGGAAAAGCTCTTGCTTGGGGGACCTGGTGGGGCTTCTGCTATTATGCGCCAAGATGGAGAGAATTGCTGCAGTCCAAATTCCTTTTTGTGAGGGGACAATTTACAACTTGGTAATAGACCTTTTTATGTGCCTCCATCGCCTGTCATTGGATGCCACTGGTCATGTGCGAGAGGCAAACGTCTTCATGGCCCTTTTCCTGATTTCCCTGGCGATTTCCCCCCACTGCATTCTGTATCACGTTGTCTATGGTGTTAAACCGATACACTACGGTCTGCTCTCTTAAAAATCGCCTGCCATTCGTTTCATAATTGTCTGATCAGCGCATATTTTCCCGGCGCTGCGTCGTTTGTTTAATTAATTATTTTTTCTTTTACTGGATGACAAGAGAAGCGTTTCAACTTTATCCACATCCCACCTTCTTCATTCACAGAGCTGTGCTGGCTCTTTCACGCAAAATGCACTGCCTGAGCAAACTTCAAAGAGCAAGCATGGAGTACCTCACCACCATAGGTAAGATTTCTTGTGCGATAATGGCGTTTATTAGTTGGGCATGTGTGAGAGCATGTAAAGTTTGACAGCTTCCTGTTTCATTGGTCATGTAAATGAGCTGCAAGGTAATGGCACTCAGGTAATTTGGTGAAGTCACATGTTGCTGGGTGTGTTGGGATTAATTGTTTTTGTTTTTAGACATGTTCAGTAACAGAAGTCTGGCCATTATATTATAATGATTAACAAACGTCCGTTTAGCCGGCAAGTTGCCTTTTATAATGCAACAACCACAGAGAAATATTTAAGAAGATATCATATGGATTTCAAGTCGTTTCATCGTGTTTATTGATGCCTTTTTAAAGCCTTAGATGCACAAATAGAAGTTGTTTCTGAGGTCACAGATGGTGATGTGTGAGCTGTGTTTTTGATGCAGAGAAGTTTTTTTTTCCACTGTGCACTGCAAGAGAGCTTTGTCTTTAACCGGTCATTCCTTATTTTGCTTTCAGCGTTAAGTTATTGGTTGTAGACAGATCCCAATTCCATCAGCCTCTACGAATAATTGTAGCTATATTATCCCTCATCTCTCAACCTGCTAGAAAATCTGTATTGGCGTATTCAGGCCACCATATTCCATCACACTGTTTCGCTTTATATGCTAATAAATGAGGGATTATACTCGAGACAAAGTTCAGTTAATTTGCTTTATGGAACGTATACAAAGCCTGGCAGCAAAAGTTCAGTTTTCCTACTTGTTTTCAGCTGCCTGGAGATGAGGCCAACTGAACAAAGACAGTATTTCACTGTTGCCTGACAGGCAGCTGCGAAAGTATTTACAGCCTTACTGCAATGCGGCAAAATGGACCCTGAAAGACAGGCACAAGCAGAAGCCTGAGAGAATTACATAGGACTCAGTCATGATCTTTTACATTTTGACAGTGCAAAAAAAAAAAAAAGATCACACGTTTTAAGCGTTTTTTGTAATGCACGTAATTATTTAGTATATGTGTGACCGCAGGCCCTGCACTAATATTTTTATTAGTTTCCATAAATGGATTTCCTCCCTTCACTCCTACTCAGCTCCTCTCAGACATCCAGACTGTCTAGACCCTTTAGCAACAGACTTATATAATCATATAATATATTTTGTGAGATTTCTTTTTTTAATTTTTTTTTGCTCAAGCCAAGCCATGTGAACCTAAATGTGCTGTCATTTGCCTTCTATTTAATAGTTTTAATTGTTTTTTTTGTTTCCACTTAGATAAATGATGCTTTCATTAACAATGTTAAGTATGAATCATCACCACAACATCAGCATTTTCAATTTCAACATCTACTTTGCAGTTTATTACTACAGATATTCCCATTATAGTCTTTTTTAAATGTTCACTCTACAAATAGAGGAAAATATTTAGATATAAATATGCTATGGTAATTATTCTGAATTCATATAATGTGTTTAAAGAGCTTGACTAAACCTAGTTTTGAATTAGCTTGCATTAGGCTACTTGCTTTGGAGGGAATCATTTAGAGGAGTAATTGAGCAAATTTTGAAATCAGTGGTCTGCATACCAACAGTAAATCTCCTCTCCCCTCATTCAAAACTTCATCAACAGTTTGATGCAACACAGAATTGGGTGAAATAACTGGTTTGTGTATGTTTTATATATTTATTTATTTATTGTATTTATTACAGTGGAACTGTGGAGAGGCCTTTATCATGCCAGCAGAAGGCGCTGTTGCCCAACAGTCAGATTCTCTGGTCCCATTTAGCAATCCTTTTACTAGCATGCTCTTTGGTGCTGTAAGTAGATGAGGCGGGAATCACGTGATCCAGTTCGTTTTCTTTCTAAAAGTTGTTTTGGTGCCAGAAAAGTCACCCATGTGGCGCGCATGGGCACTAGATACGTTAAAGGCTGCTCTCAAATGAGATCAGCCATTAAGATTATACATTGGTGCATTTTGTGCTGGTTTGGAAATCCTCCAAATATTCATGTCTGTCATCTTTCCCCAGCAAACAGTCATTCAATAATCGTAAACTGTGTCCTCGTGATAAACAGGATGATTCAATTAAAACGACTTTATTTACAAGTTCAAAACAGTTCGAGGAAACATGAAAACTAGAAGCAGGGGTTATGTGTAGGAAGAATTTGAATCTGCAAGGAAGGAAAAGCTTTTATGAAGACATACATGTAAGAAAATTCAAAGCCTCTGATCTGCTGCCCTCACATTTATTATACCTGCCGCACTGTGGCAGCCACCCAAACCTCAACATGGTCTGCTCTCTCCGGTTAGGTCAGAGCAGGGGGAGGAGGAGGACCAAAAGGCATTGCACTCTGGGATTGGCCCGGAAGAATGAATGACATCAGTCCTATTGTGACAGGTTCACTGGACAGAAAAAAAATGTATTCGGGCACCAATCAGTGACGCGTAGTGGTTCATTTGTTAACACTTTAGAGGTCAAAAGGCGTCAGATTTCAGGAGATTTAAATATTGAAATTCTCGATTTCAGTAGTTTTGATTCCATCACACCTCAATATTAAAATGATTAAAATGAATATTTAAGATGACCAGGATACTTTGGTGTTTGTTCATGGAAGTTTAAAGCTCGCACATATTTTTCTCCCCAGTTTTCACGGTGGGAATAAAACATGCTATTCTGTCACGGCTCGCTCTTGTACCACTTTCTGTTGTGACTGTTACAAAATCCCTTCCGCTTCCCTGCTTCCTCATTTCCACGACTTTTCCTCAGTGCACATCAGTGCAATCGCTATTATTGAGTAAGTGCAACTTTCGGGGTTATTTATGGGCCTGCGCCCTGTTGTGAATGGCTGTGAGGAAACACGTGATGCCATTAAACTTTGTTTTATGGCCTGGGACTTGACAAGCCAAAATATAATTCTCATTGTGTATTAGTAAGACAGTCCAGATGGAATAGAGCCTCAATTGACATGGAACTCTACCGGACTGACTTTTCCCCTTCAGCATGGATGCGTTTGTTGGACTGCGTGTCATCTGTTGCGGTTTCCGCGGTAAGCTGCGTTTTATCATTATGCTCGTGGTATGGGCGTGTGATGTCACATGCGTAATGCTCAGGCTAAACTGTTTCCTGCCTGTAAAGCTGCAGTGCATGCTCGGTAACTTTTAGACAGTGTGCTCTTCTGATGAAGTTGTGTTCAAGTTTAGTACTTGTTTGATTTGTTTTGAAAAGCTTTTATGGATCTAACCTTCACTCTTTTTTAAAAAGTGTTATTGGTCTGATTTGCTCCACACCATATTCTTCTTATTCCTCTTTTGGTTCTGCTTCTTTGTTTGGTCTTTTTAAAGCTGTATGGTGATCTTGTGCAGTTAACTTGAGATTTTAATCAAAGGAATTTTATTTTAAATTGCATTAATTTCCTGCTGTGTCCAACTGTTAAGCTGCACATTTCTTCACCCACAATTCGTTTGCTAGATAACGTCATCTTCTCTTTGGGTTTCAATCACACAGAAATGTTTTGGTTTTTTTTAAACAGCACTGATTTCGCAAGAAAATCAGTTTTAAGTCTTTACATGGTGTGGATTTTCTTTTTTCTTAATTCACCCCAGGCCTGGCGCGTTTCTAACTGCAGGCCTTTAAATTATTAATTTTGTCACCCTTTGTTAGAAATCTAGTCTTGCAATGGTTGCATGTTTGATCCAAGCTTCAAATGGAATTTAGCGTTTATTTTGTATTACTATCAGACAAAAAAAATCCCTTTATTAAGTTGTGTGAAAAATAAGCAGGCCTGGTGTTTTCTGCAGCTTTCAAATCCACAGCTGATGGTTTACAAAATCGAAAACAAATATCTGTGAATGTAATGAAGAAATAGTCGAGCTGGAGACTAGTTGGCCATTGGTTTAACACGAGCTGCCAGGAAACGCTGATTTTATCATTCTTTTGTTGGGGAACTCGGCTTTGACCCGTCACAAGGACCGGCAGGGTCAGGTGAAAGGCAGGTCAGGCTGTCTAATAAATACTGAAACGTGAAGTGCAAGGACGATTTATAATAAATGAGTAAATAAATAAATAATGCACTCATCATTTAATTGAGGCCATAACGAATATTTTGAGTTTTTGTTCGTATTTTAGCGGAAGTTTTCCAGCTCAGATCACAGCATATATATGTGCACATGCATACTACACGCAGGCCTACATATTCGTTAAAGGAGCTCCAGCACAAAGCGTCACACTGATTTTACATTTTACTGTTTTATGTTTGATTCTTATTTATTAAAGGCCTCTTTTACAAGGTTGGTGCAAGCCAATAATATTCCCTATTATATTACACTAAACCGTTTACATCACCTGTCAAATAATTAGCCACGAATTTGTTTCTTTATCCGTTTAATTTTTCTTATTAAAGAAGAAAACGTGTTCTGTGTGTGAGGCACAGTTGCTTTTTAAGCCCTTTCAGAGCTGAGATGCAATTATTGTGTCACATTTTGGACAAGAAGGAAACATGTCATAAATTCAAATTACTGTCTCGTTGCTTAAATACTGACTCAAAATTTTTAGAGTTTGCTATATTTTCTCGCCATCAGCGTTATTTTTCTCCATATAGACGCACTGATATGAAATTAGCTCACTCGCATGGTGATTTAGCGTCCTTGAAAAAAAAAAGTGTATTATTTTTGCTAGACCCTCTCAGTTTCTCTCAGTTTTGGCCAATCTGTCTTGATCACGCCCAGCTTTAACTAATTTAATTTGTAGAGGAAGCTCGGTGTAGGGCTTGAGGTGGTCTCCATGGCAGTTAGTTAAGGTCTGACGACTTGGTAAACTTTTGCACCCTTTGAGCTGTCAGCAGCAGTAAAAATAATTGAACTTTTTGATAAGTTTGTAAATGATTTGAGTTGACCTCGATGGCCTCCAGCCCGTAGCATCTTTTGGACAGCGGAGGTAGGAAACCCCTGTATAACCTGGCAAGTGCTCAGGGGTTTATACCGTTGCTCGATTGCTTGACGGAGGCTTAACTTTAAATCTGAGCTGACAGTTTTAAAAAGTTTAAGGTCATTTATGGATTTATGGTGTTTGAAGAAGTGTATTGTCTTGCTGTGAACTTGGGCTGTAGCCTGATGAAGAGAAGAAGATCTTCTGCGTTGAAAGCTGGGCTGACCTCAGTTGGTAGCTGTTTTTTCATTTACTTTACGCTTGTCATTTTCTTACGATTGATAGGAGCACCCAGGGCAGAGGTAGCCTGTAGCCTAATATTTTTGCTTTTCCTTTTCTTTATGTCTTTCTTCTTCTGCTTTTTTGGAAGCCTTGTCAACCAGCAACTGACAAGGCTTCGAGGGTTTCGTGTGTCCTATTGACGAGATTTCCTTCAAATAAGCAACAAAAAAGACCACGAAAAAAGCCTACTTTATACTGTAGAAAAGGGGAATAAATTAAAAAGGAAATGCCGTGGCTAAAACAAAGAAAATAGGGCACTCCGGAGTGATTATAGCTTATAAAAGTATGTGTTTATCCCTGGGTTTTTAATTCTTGCCTCTTATTTTCTTATGTAACCTCAGCTTCTTTGATGGTTTTGGTTTATTCTGATTGTGAGCCACTCTGTTAATTTTATTAGTCTAGAGTGCTGCACAAAGAAAACGTGATGTGGTTTAGGGGGTAAAATTAGGCAGCATCGCTTCCCGTCGTCTATATATACCCTGTAGAACCGAATTTGTGTGATGAAACCAGATTCACAGATTCGATTCTAGGGGAGTATATGGTCGATGAAAAAACTTCGATTTATTGACTTTACTGCCATCGTTATCAGGCATTTGAAGCCTAATGTGCTTCCAGTTGTTACATTAACAGTGTTGGTTTATGAGTGAGAGTAAATCTGACAACACCACATTCCTCATAAGAGGTCGTGCTGTAACTCTGTAGGCTTAAAGGAAATCTAATATGAAATGTTGCACGTGGAAATAAACATTGGAAGGTGTCTCTATTCCTGTTTGGCTCGCTGTGCTTTGCATGAAATACCAAATGAATTTACTAAATGAAACCAAGCCACAGACACTCCAGCTGTAGCTCTTTTTTCTCTTGTGGGCAGTTTCTGTCTCTACATTATTGATTCCCAGAGACTGCTGCTGCTGTCCAATAGGCTCCTGAGACAGATTTTTTTTTCAAAGGGATGGGAGCAGATGAAGTGATGAGATTCGTGTAACTTTTGGATGACCCCTTCTTGACAAAGACAGTGTCCATCAATTGTCCTCACTCATTATTCGCTGTCTTTATGCCAAGGGGCTTTTTGTATCTTTTGTTGGTTTCTCTGTTGAACACCATGCTTTTAAGTTAGACTTTAGAAACCAGGAATCAGCTTTGATGAAACATCACCATGCACAGAAGACAATCCCCATTTTTAATATTCTGTTTTCTTTTTAATACGTTTCGTAAGTTCAATATTGTGCATATTTTCCCCCAATTTTTCTATTTATTTATTTTGAAATCCTCATTTTCTGTCTTCCAAACACGTACGCCGATGTTTCAAGATAATATTTGCGTTTTTTCCATCAGGTTCTAATTTCTGTGTATCTTAACTCAGATAAAAATGCATTTAGTTGTATGTTTACCAGTGTTTGGACCCGCATCACCTCTATTGGCCGATCTGGTCACATGGTTCGCTAACTTTATTCAGTTGACACCAAGTAGGAGGGCTTTATGGAGGGAGGAAAAAAGACAACTCGAGAAAAATTAGTATTTTCTACCTTCAGAAATTAATGGCCATGAGTTCGTATATGGTGAACTCTAAGTATGTGGATCCCAAATTTCCTCCCTGCGAGGAATATTCACAGAATAACTATATACCTGAGCAGGGCTCCGACTACTACAGTCCATCTCAGGACACAGACTTTCAGCATCCAGGGATCTACCCACGGTCAAACTACACGGAGCAACCCTTCAGCTGCAACACTGTGCAGGACTCCACAGTGCAACCACGGGGTCATGGGCACGAGAGAGCCAGCCACCCGAGCCATTTTAGCGCACAGACTGAGCAGGGGACTCCGGTCCAAGTGGCCGGACCCCGGACTTGTGGACAGCAGCAAAACACAAAGAGCCAAAATGGGATACAAGCCAAGCAGCCAGCAGTAGTTTACCCCTGGATGAAGAAAGTTCACGTAACTACTGGTAAGATTTCCTCTTCTTCTTCCTCTTCTTCCTCTACTGAGGGCTATAATCCAGAAATCAGTCAGTATACTATTTATAGGAGTCTTTGAAAGGCCTCGCCAATTACACAAGTCATAAATTTTTATAGCTCAGGAAATAGGCCGCTAGGTGAGCTCCTAAAAGCTCCTCAAACACGCAGACTAGCCGGTGGAAATTGGGATGAAATCTAGAGCAAATCTGGTTAAATTTAGCTAAAATAATCCACTGTTTCCTGATGACAGTTCCGTTTAAATTTCCTTAAAGTATGAACTTTGACAGAGAAACTAATTTTCTTGTCCTGCACATGTTCTACCTGCATGCTGCATCGACCACATTTAGTGACTTTTGTTTGTTTCGTTTTGTTTTTCTTTTGTGTTCTTTCTCCCAGTGAACCCGGATTACACGGGATCTGAACCCAAGCGGTCCAGAACAGCTTACACCCGGCAGCAGGTTCTGGAGCTAGAAAAGGAGTTTCATTTTAACAGGTATCTGACCAGGCGGCGGCGGATTGAGATTGCCCACACTCTTTGTCTCTCCGAAAGGCAGATTAAAATCTGGTTTCAAAACAGACGGATGAAATGGAAGAAAGATCACAAACTACCCAACACCAAGGGGAGATCTGCACCAGTCTCCAACCATCTGCAGAGCATTCAGAAGGATAACCTGACTGATATCACAGCATTATAAGAAAGGAAAGTGGTCCTGTCCTTAGAGATTAACTGTATATAAAAAAGACAAAAGTTACATCTGACTTTTGCATGGACTGATGTCGTTTCTAGCCATTTTGTTTTTAATTTAACAAACATGACCCTCCAGCATTGTTGCCTCGAGTCTGAGTGAGAAAATCAATCGGTCTTTAAAACCGAGAGGTTTGCAAGCTGAGCCTCTTCTGTGTTCAAATTTCCTCAAAGAGACAGAAAAAACGTCGAAATAAACTTTTCCTTCCCTCTTTTTCCGACGTTGCCCCTTCTGAGGAGACATTTATCAAGCAGCCTCGGCCGATTCAGTGGATTTAAACAAAGTGTCTCTGCTCTTCTCACGTGGATTCAGCTGATTTAAACAATGAAATATCTTTGCTTAAAAACAAAACAGTGAGATCATTTCAAATTACACGCACATACACAAAAGTTATTACAGCTTTCAGCACAGAAATTATTTTAGCCAACTGAAAAATTCACATTAAACGCACAATATATATATATATAAATGTATACTTGAAGGAAATATTATTTGCATATAGAGCACGCCAAACACTCCTCAACCTTTTTCAGAAATCCCCGCTGAATCTTTTGTGACTTGTATGTTTTAACTTATTTTGTACAAAAAAAGCTTTGAAATTTTAAAATTGTTATTTCCCAAACACAAGACATTCCTGTGTGCATACTATTCAGAGTGCCCTTATAAATCTTTCCTGACATCTTTGTAAACAGTGTACATTTTCAGAGGCTCTCTTGTGCCATTTAAAACTCTCCTATGAAAGATCATTTGTTCTTGCATGGCATCAAATTGATACTAGATGTTTCCAATCGGAAATAATCAAATCCTGGAGATTTAGCAGTATTTTATTTTTTATTTTTCAGACGATTTCTGCGTCATTATTTATTTGTTTAAAAACGTGTAAATTTTTTCGTATAGCACACAATTAAATTAAAAGTATTCGTTAAACCTTTATTATTCCGAAATATGTTTGAACTCTTGTGCGTTATTAGCATGGCCTTATGCAAAGTTTTAGTCTTAGTTAACATGGGAATCTTCTATTTTTTTTTTTTTTTTTCATTCACAACCAAGCTATCCATGGGGCTCTTTCAGGTCATGTTTCAAGACAGATATTTCTCGTTTTATACCGTCTTTGTCCTCGGACAAAAAGCCAAGAAGCTCTCCCAGTATGTGGAGGTCTCCTTTCTGAAGTCTTCTTGACGAGAGAGTTGAAAAGGTATTTCAACCGAAGGTCGACAAAGCAGCAGTGGCAGGTTCATCCAGGGGACACATTTCAGCCGCAAGGACTGACCCCAGCACCCCTGACCCGCCGGACAGGCAGCATTTCTCTCCCAGGCGCTGTTCGCTTTGCTTTGGAGGACTGTTCCACCCTCAAAAAAAAGAAAAAGAAAAAAGGCTAAAGCTGATTCAAAGTAAGAGCCACTGAATTCCTCGTTTTACACGTGTTTAAACAGTATTTATACCAGGCGAAGCCCCCGAAAAGGTTCTGATTTGTGCGTTTGTCTCCTCATGTCTATATGCAATCTTTTCGTTTTTATTTTTGTACATGCTTTTTACCTTGTACGGTGCATTGAGATGTGAGAAGTATATTGAATAAAAAAAAATAAAGATTTCTACTGATTATGCATTTAAGTATTTGGGAGACTGTGTGTGTTCTGGGATGTTTATTTCCTGCACTCAAGATAGATTTTGATTTAGAAGAAATACATATATTTTTTCGACCCCGGGGTTATTTATTATTTCCCCGATAGCTTGAAATTTTAGAGTAACTTTTCTTTGTTTGCGTTATTTGGTGCCATTTGGTTTACGCTAGACGCAAAGGACAGCTTTGCTCCAAGTGTTTTTTCTCCTAAGAGTTACAAGCGTGTGGAACCATATGGAACTAAAGGCCGCTTTTACAAAACATCTACAAATGGACCAAATGGCCAATGGATACACAAATGCAGCCTGTTGTCTTGGCAGGTCCTAAATTTAAGCACACAAGTGTATTTTTATTATTTAGAAAATAAAATAAAATAGAAGAGGTTTTTTTTTTTTTACTTTGCCGTTTCATTTTACTCATGAGTTCGTAACAAAGCGAGAGCAAGCACTGCGCAAAAACCTCCCCTTAGGAAAAAAAAACTCTTAGTGGGGATTATTTAATTTATTTATTATTATTTTTGTGCCATAAAAACCACATTCAATGCGTAAAAGTTATTTAGACGGTTCTTTACGGTGCAGTGGAAGCACAAATTATCTCTAGTGCCCTCATAAGACTCAAATTGACAGGGAAAACTTGTTAAGAGGAGTTGGTCCTTCTCCAAGACTAATTCACGCCACATTTGTTAGAGCTGTATTAGAACGAAGGAACAAACACCCAATAGCACAGTATAGAACTTTAGGCTATTAAAGCATACCTATATTCTGCTTATGGTTAATATTAACCCCCAACCCCCCATGATCCACAAGCTGAGACTTTATTGAGGATGAGACGCAGCAATACCGACCTTCGACCCCTTCACGTTACAGGATCAGCTCGGATACAAACAAAGTGACCATATGTATGCATTTGTAAAGACAACCTGCATCCAAACACTTTTCATCCCCAGTGACCACGGGCTGATGCCCACTGAGCACGTGCGTGCACCGCGCATAAACGTTTGTGTATACATAAAATGTAAGTTTGTCACACGGATGTGGAGAGAAGCAGAGACAAAGTGATGCTACCAATCCACCATCCTGCCAAAAATGATCTCCATATAGATGCTGATGAGAAGATGAGAGAGAGAGAGGGAGAGAGAGCGAGAGAGAGAGGGGGCTGGGTGGGGGGGGGGGGGGGGGGGGGGACTGGGGAGAAGCGACTAGAAGGGGGGTGAGGGGGGAGAACCTACCTAAAATACATTACAAGCTCTAACTTAACCAAAGGTTGCTTTTTTATTATTATTATTTTTAGCTACTTAATATAAAACCTGGGTGTTTTGAGCGTCTGATATATAATGCATGAATTGAACTAATGCCAATATCATAGTTTCCTTGGCAGTTATCAGGTCAGAGCAGCCTACTACAACGTGCAGTGTGTAGCCACACTGACCTACATGTCTGAACAGCAATAAATGGGAGCCAAAGGCAGTGCCATTTTCAATGACACTGCACCCAGTGCAGGAATACAACGTCGTTGCTCTCCATCCGGCCATATTTGATTTCCAGCTGTTTTCGCAAGAAGCCTCTCCGAGCCAGACAACCCCCCTAAGATATATTAAAGTGCGCTGTCTGCATTCAGAGATATAATCCAGAGACTATACCACTCCGCTCTCTATTCTCGACCACGTGATTGTCTAAATAATTAATGCAGCACGTCCCCCTAGAAACACGGCGTCGTCATTAATCGCAAGGACTCTATCAGACTTGAAAACTGAAGAGATCCCCCAAGAAAATAATATCCGATTCCCGGCGCAACTGTAGTCCCGCACTTTAGCAACACATCTGAACCGATGGATGCTTGGGTAGGTAAATATTTCAACATTTTTCATGTTGCCCCAGCTGGTAAATGACGATATCAAATGTCGTGATATTTGATAAATTGCTCCCTTTGATGTGTGCGCTCTGAGCGCAATTGTATAGGCTGTGGCTAGTCGCTGTACGCATGCCTTCTTCTTTTTTTAAAATAAATAAATAAATTAAATATATTAGCAGTAGCATAATTTTTCAGTTTTGCGGTTTGCAAATGTCTTGAAATGGACTGATGGGACTAATGTGAAAAAAGTAAATGGCAGTGACAAGTAGGATTTATGGATGCTCGCTTTGAATAACTGCTCTTTCGGACACATGCAGCTTAGTCTGCTCCCTCTTTTGGGCCCATAGACTCCTTATTCAGAGTCTAATTCGGATTTTTGCTAATTTAATGTGAAGTTGTTTTTGTTTCTTTTAATCTGAAGTAAATTGAATATGTTTAAAGAAAGCATTAAAATTAACTTGTCTTGTTTGCGAAGCAGAAATCGCGATTTTTGGTGTTGTATTTTTAACCACAAGACAAATTCCTAGTTATTTATCTCTCCCTTTCGCTTTAGAGCACAATCATTTTCTATTGTTTTTATTGTTAGTGGGGGGATGATCTAATTTTGATTTCTTAGAAGTCCTAGAAGTTCGGCCAGGCTGACAGTTCTGCCTCCTTGTAAATCATTCTCAGTTATCCCTGAAAGGGTGCGAGGCTGTTGGGGGCCGGGCGAAAACTGTAAATCTTTCACTTTTATTACCCTCTGAACATATGCTGAGACGCTACCAGTCCGGCATCCCTTCTTCTTCTTCTTCTCTAGCAAAGATTACCCACCGCTGAACCAACCAGGTCCGAGAACCGTCTCTGTGGTTCGAAATCTTAGAGTCTGGCCTTTCGGTATATTTTCTCTGGCATTAAAGCGTGCCATTATTTGGCATAGTGTGGGGTTAGTACCGAAAACAATGCAAGAAGACACTGGCTCCGTGCCTCTTTGTGCTTCAGCTGTGTGGGAAGACAGACACAACAAACACGAGATGATAATGTGGTTTATTTGAATACAATCCTTTCCCAGTTGCAAGAAAATACACACACGTCATTTATTTCATAAATCATTTTTTAAAATGCACTCCCACATCATTGCGCAGTTGTTTGTAAATTACACAGAACCGCGTTTTAAAACGTTTCAATATTATGCAAAATGTGGTGAGTGAGGCCCTCTTTATTCGTTTTATTGCGAAATCCCCGCTAGTTTCTATCTTTAGGGGGAGTGAGGCAAAGAAAAAGAAATCTTCATAAATGTTGGAAATTTCAAATCTTCTGTGACATAAAATGCACAGATCATTTTTTGCACACATGCATTGCACTTCAGTGCCTTTGTGGGGGGGAGGTTAAAGATGTCTAGATTTGCACGTTGAGCACCCAAACAAAAGCATATCTGCTTGGGTTTAAACGCTGAAGTGCAGGCGAGCTGCAAAGCTCGCAGCTCATGGGGAGATAAAAAGAAATAGGCAGAGGAACATTTTCACATTCACACAGTTCAGATGAGGAAATAAACGCCACCCTTTATCAAAATGGATTGGTGAGGTAAGGCTTACTTGAAGAAGGGAACAATCACGTGAACAAATATGCTTGTACCTTAAGGCAGCGCCTTTATTTGTCATCATAAAGCTTCCGAAACACCCCAAAATCCCAATGTTAGCTGCAAATCTTTACAGGCCTCTCCGTTTTTGAATTCCTGTATATTTCACTGGGTGATTGATTGCCAGTGATTTTTTTCAGGAATAAGGATACCTTGTTCGCTTTTTATTGGTAGTTGAATGCGAGTCCTTCCATTCTTTCGGGAATACTGTCTCCACTGGTATATGGAAATGTCTGAAAAACAGCAAGATCAGGTTTAGGACAGCATTGTCTACAGACAAAGGGTGAAGGATTTATTCTTGAGACAACGTGGAAAGGAACTGAGACTGAGAGGGAACTGCTTTATGATGAATTGATTCACAGGTAAGAAATTGCATGGCAGAAAGCAACCTTTAACCACGGGTTAATATAATCCAAGGAAATATATATGATTCATTCCATTCATGGAGGCGATGCTCGTTAACGTCGCTCTCACCGGCAAACGCGCGGGTATGGAGCCCAAAGCTATCTCTTCAAAAGCAGATTCATATTATTACCATTATTATAGTTTTTTTTCCTCGAGAAATTGCGTTCAAATATTATCGACAGATCGAGCCAAAGCTACCCTGCGCTTTTCAGCTGATTTCACGTTTATGAAAACCTGCTCGGAGGAAAAAGTGGGAGAGGAACTTTTCTTTTTGACTCTTGGATCGTAAATCACATTAATTTGTTGTCTTATCCTCACTCGCTGGCGTTTGCCGTTGATTTATGTGGGTTCAATAGTATGGCTTTGTTAACCTGCAACGTTATATTATAGGTGAATTTATAGTGGATGCTTTAAGGGATAGGAGGTCTGAATAGTGAACAAGGACAATGCAAATGCGTTTTTTTTTTAATGTTTGGATACCTTAATGGCTAATTTGTTCCATGCAAATATATTTTCTCTCTCTTTGGACTGATGAGCAGCAGGTCTAAGAACACAAGGCAATAAACTCAAATTTGAGATAATTTCCACCCATTTTCGTTCAGTTTACTGTTTTACTTTGGATAAAGATTTAATGTTTGTGCACTGCAGCTTTTGTATTATAGGCCTGAGCTGCTCATAATTACGCGCAGTCTCCTGGATTTAAAAAAAAAAAAAAAAAAAAAAAAAAAAGCTAAACTAAAAATACAGACATTTTGCTACAAAATGGGAATTTGTAAGCACTATACAATTTTCTGCAAAAAAACAAACAAAACGCAATTTGTGTTTTGTTTTCGTTTTCGTTGTTTCAAAACAGCAGCGAATACATTGTGTAAAATTATAAACTTAGCTTAAAAAATAATATATATATATTTCCAGTTATACAAACTTCCCTCTTATTAATAGATTTTCAAAGGTTAAGCTGAAGAAACGACTAAGTGAGATAATAACACTCCAGATTGAGTCCGACCCATTGTGTGGACCAAACTTACCGTAACAACGCGTAGGCGAAAAACACAGCCGCGTGAAAAGGGAACCATGTCTGCTACTAGTAGCTCAGTGTGCTCAAAAGCACTCGAGGTGCAGACTATCGACCGGCTTTTTAGAAAATCCTCATGAAAAAATCCTACAGTTGAATCGTGATACTATGAAGCTAAATTCCTCGGATAGATGCAATGAAACAGGAGCTGTTTGTTTCTTTTTTTTACACTCACTGCAAATATAATTATCTGGAAGATTTCTGGGTTTGAAGTTCTGGTTTCCTTGCCGTCGGTCGAGCATCTTGTCCTGTTTCTCTTAGCGCTGAAAAGCTGCTGTGAATTTAGTCGAGACTTGGCTCTTCTTTAAGGCAAACTGTTCGTTGTTCATTAAACTATGACTTACTGCTGAATGACCCTAAGGTCACCTAAAACGCTTATGAGTGCTAGATATTTGGCCTGACTCTTTTGTACTAAAAGTGCACATGTCAGACTTTTCAGTCTCAAGAAAATGAAAGCAAAAGAAGAAGAAAAAAGTAAAAAAAAAAAAAAAGTGAAATAAAAATAGACATACAATAAAAACGCTGGAAAATATGGAACTAAAGCCTCAGTTCTATTAAGCTACTATATTTTTCAATTAATTATCTAGAACTGTTTAGTTTAGCTTGAGTTTACACATAAATCTAAATTTAAAAAAAAATACTACAACTAAAAATGTATCACTCATTTTTAACACAACATGCATCGAAAATAACGCAGGGCTCAGACTAATAACAATACATTTATTTGTGTTATTATTTTTGTCTTTTAGGTCGAGATGGAAGCAGTGGTGAATGCTTGAGGGGTATAAAACAGATCTGCGCAGATTTCGGTGAGTAACGTTTTTTTAATGAAGGGAGAGGACAACACAGCCAACTGCTAACAAGGTGAAAGGGTGATTTGTTATTAGGCTACATATTTACGCTCACAGTGTTTCACAGGAGGCTTAAATCAAGAAAACAGACATGAAGGATGGTCTTAACCTGTACGTGTAATTATTTACGCAGGCCAGAGTCCAATTTCAGTAAGTCCCATTTCCTTTTTTAGCAGCGTTGCCGGAATTAAACAGTGAGAGCACACACAATAAGAAAATTAAAAAGAAAAAAAAAGAGTAGAGTTTTTCAAGACCTCGCCAGTATCCCCGTGCCTTATTCAAAGCAGCAAAACAGCTCCGTGCTTTCCACCTCTGTGTTTAGCTGGAGACTCGCACTAAGCCAGAATGGAGGCATCATTTATAAACCGAGCCTCTTCATGGGAGAAGTCGCCGACTATGAAATTCTTTCCCTTGCCTTCCTCCTACGCTTAGTTTTACACTTCTGAGGGGCTGTGAGTCTTGAGGAGTGTTTTGCTTTTCATTCCCCTCTCTCAGGCCGTTTACAACCATAACATTTGCGGTCATAAATTTTGCCGCGGTCCAAACTGACAGGTGCAATTGTTATGCACGGCGCAGGCTGCACCTCGTAAAGCCACCAACATACAGTACAGGAGGGCCCCTTTGATATTTTTGTTTCGGCTTACTTTAAATGTTGTCATGCTTTTTATCATATTGGTAAAATAATGAGAATATTAATAATAATTTTTTGGTTTTCAAAAATATCCTCCAAAAGTTTAAAAAAGATAATTCAAGATAATTAGACATAAATCTTTAAGAAGAAAACCGACCAAGCAGCCAAATTATAATGTTTGAGATGTGCGTAAAGGCTGGTGAAATGTCATATTTAACCCAGCCCAACCCAACCCATCTTTCTCTCTCTCTCACTCTCACTCTATCCCTCCCTTTCTCTCTCTCTCTGTCTCTCTCTCTGTCTCTCGCTCTCGCTCTCTCTTTCTAACCCTCTCACACGGCTACATTTTTATATGAACAGTGCGGGAGTTCAGTGTTGTGCTTCTTGCGCTCTTCAGCATGCGATCCTAATGCCTGTGCGCGCGTGAACAATGAATGCATTAGGGGCTTTGTCAGGCCTTGTGATTACTGAAAAGGGTATTGTGTGTACGTGTGTGTCAAATGCTGATTCAGCTTATTTGCAAGGGACTCCCAGAGCCTCCCAGAGGGTCCTTTTAGTCCAAGTTAAACTTTAACTGTTTTGTGCCAAGAAACGAGTCGAACGAGCTGGAGATGAAGCATTGTCATAGACAGTTTGAAGACATTTGGTGCTTTTCTAATTTAATTGCTCTAGTTGTTTAATTAGAAAGCACCAAATGCTCTATACAGTAGCTTCAGTCTGGGCCAAGCAAGCTGTGCCTTTTGGTTTAATGTGGATTTCAAACGCTGCATCTCACACATTCTGTGGCGTTACAGTGAGAGATGTTTCTTTTTATAGGTCACAGAGTGGAGCAGCGGTGGGAAACACCAATCACGTAAATAAACAACACTCATGCAACTGGATAAAGCTTCACTGGCTTACTGGCTTTGAATCCACAAAATGCAGAAAGCAACATACTACGACAACTCTGGACTTTTTGGAGGCTACACCTACCCCAAACCAGACTCTTACAACTATGGGCCCGCACACCAGTCCTATCCTACTTCAAACATAGACAGCGACTACCAGGGCTCAGTTTGTCCCATTCAGACAGCTGCAGTCCGGCCACCAGCCCTAAAAGACAGTGACCTGAACGGAGACTGCATGCGACAAAGCAGCAGTCAAAATAACAACAACAACCAAGCGACTAGTATTTCAGAGCAGCAGGCTCCTCCACTGTCTGCATCTTCCCCTAGCTCCAACAGCTCTGCATCTCAGAAGAAGAAATCCCCATCCAGCAGTGCTTCCAGCAGTGCCACACCAGCCCTCACCAAGCAGATATTCCCCTGGATGAAGGAGACCCGACAGAACTCAAAGCAGAAGAACTCAAACAACTGTGCCACCGCAGGTAGTGATCATGATGGTGACGTGTATGTGTAGTGTCTGTGTATGTTGTGTGAGCGTGTAGAGGTGTGTTTGGGTAGGGAGGGATCAGGGTGGGGGGGGGGGGGGGGGGGGGGGGGGGTCTTGATGTGCATGGAATTTATAAATTATTCCTCACATTGTTCAAAAGACCCTAAGATGATTCTGTGATTCCTTCACAGGTGGTGAAGTGAGTGATGAGAAAAGCCCACCGGGACCAGCGTCCAAACGGGTCAGAACTGCTTACACCAGCGCGCAACTTGTGGAGCTGGAGAAGGAGTTTCACTTTAACCGCTATCTTTGTCGTCCTCGGAGGGTGGAAATGGCAAATCTGTTGAATCTCACCGAGCGCCAAATAAAGATCTGGTTTCAAAACAGGAGGATGAAATACAAAAAGGACCAGAAGTCTAAAGGGCTGGCGCACTCCCCCCTGGGACATTCCCCGGATAGAAGCCCGCCGCTGAGTGGCCCAAATCACATTGGATACTCTGGCCAGCTCCAAAATGTGAACAGCCTCAGCTATGACGCACCCTCACCCCCGTCCTTTGCCAAACCCCAGCAAAATATGTACGGCTTGGCCGCGTACACGGCACCCTTGGGTGGCTGCATCCCACAACAGAAGAGATACCCGGGCTCCGAGTACAAACACCACGGCATGCAGAGCAACGGCAGCTTTGCCAACGCCAATTTGCAAAGCAGCCCCGTTTACGTGGGTGGGAATTTTGTTGATTCCATGCCAGCCTCGGGCCCCATGTTCAACCTCGGCCATCTTCCCCACCCCTCATCCACCAGTGTGGACTACAGCTGTGCCGCACAGATCCCAGGAAACCACCACCATGGACCCTGTGATCCCCATCCCACATACACAGACCTCACCTCTCACCAAGCGTCTCAGGGAAGGATTCAGGAAGCGCCTAAACTGACGCATTTGTAATATGTGGTTTCGCGTGTGTGCGTGTGCGTGCGCGTGTATGTTTGCGTGTGTGTGTGCCAAGATTATGTTGCGCTCTTTTTTTATTACCTCACTAGTCTAATAACTACACTCCAAGCGAGTCGTGTGTATTATTACAGTATTATTGATATTACTATTAATGCTATTGTGTAATTATTTTCTAAATAATACAGCTTTGTCCATTTCTCTTGAATATTTGGGGATGCGGAGAAGCAGATAGCCCGGTTGTCAGTAGTTCTTTTTTTGTTCTTGTTTTTTCTCAAGTGCAATGCGCAATTGTTTTTTTTTTTCTTTTTGACTGAGTATTTCATGCCATTACTTGAAGGTAAGTCTTGTAGATCACAAAAATAGAAGCGCATCCTTAGCGAGAAGGATTTTTAGGGAAGTTTTTCGTCTGTTTGTTAGGCTCTCATTTCCCCCCGCGCACACCCCAATTTATTTATTGTTTTGTATTTTTCTTTTGATTTGCATAATCTTTTGTACTAGCATATAGCCTATTTATTATTTAATTACTTTTGTATTGCACATTATTTATCGTTTATATGCGAGTATTTATACGTGTGGAGTTTGTTGTAAGATTGGACAGATCAGTGCACTTGGAAGTGTGGGCAAAACAGGGTTTGGAAAATGCTATGACTCGCAATGTGTTGTTGGTATATAAAAAAGAGCATTTCTAATTGTAAATCTGGGACAAATGGGACATTTTATAGTGTATAAACATCACTATATGTCCATGGTTATTCTTGTGTCAAATCTTAAGCAAAACGTAGACTATCGAAGTATCAAATATTATACACACCAGCATGTCATTTTGTGTAGTCCATTGCTATTTTTTATTTGTCTTCCATTGTTATTCCATTCAGTTGGATATCCATAAATTTATGAAACCCTAATGATATTGAAATGTTATATTTTATTGTGTTCAACATTTTGTAAATAAAGTGCTTAAACTTCGTTTTTTATTGCATTTTGTTGATTTCCTTTTCTTTTCCCCCTTCTTTCTTTTTCAACAAACCCTGCAGCAGGAACTCTGGTTACCCTGCAGCTTCTCATTATTTTTAATTTCTCATTCAGCTGCTGCTGTTGCTGCCAGTGAATCTGTCAGGTAACTGTGCCGAGGAGGCGTATTGACCCACAGCTTTACTGTACAGCCTAAACGGGGAGAGACAATCAATAATTAGACACCAGGATATCTAAAACTCATCAGACGGCTCTATGCTTCCAATGCAAAGTGCATTTCAGCGGAATAAAAGGCTCTGGAGGTTATTGATGTTTTATTGGTATGAGGGAAGTGAGTCTACGGGCTTATTGCATCTTCCACATGTCACTTATCTTCTTCTTTTTTTTTTTTTAGAGACGGCCACATGATTAGCCTCCTGCTTGCTGAGACAAGAAAATAAGCTCAATTTTCCAGCAAAGACCAAAGCCTAATCACTGACTACTGTCTAATTGATTGGTGCACAGCGAGACTGAGCATATATAGTCTCGCTTAATATACATATATATATATAAATATATATATATATATATATATATATATATATATATATATATATATATATATATATATATATAAATATATATATATATATATATATATAAATATATATATATATATATATATATATATATATATATATATATATATATATATATATATATATATATATATATATATACACGACCATTTGTTTTCATGGTCGGTGTAAGACAAAGCAGACTGGTGACAAAACAGAAAAATACACGGCGATTCCTTGACACAGGACAAGATGCAGAGGGGTGTGTGACTAAGAGAGAGAGGGAGAAAGAGAGAGAGCAGTTCATCCTTTATTGCTCCTGGAGAGCCATTTCAAAGCTCATTAATCAAAAACTCGTCGCTTTCAGACTCCTCGCTGATCCCTCCTCCTCGTGAACAAAGCATTTGCATTCCAAATCCAAGTAACACATTTCTAACCGAACAGGCCAATCTTTAATGGTGGTGGTGGTGGGGGAGCTGGGGAGAAGAAGAAAAAAGGAAGGGGGGGGGGGGGGGGGGGGGGCTGTGGCAGTTGGAATCTGTGTTCACATTTTCCAAGATGATATATCCCTGGATTTAAGAGCGCATGAAGGAAAATGAAACTCTTGTCACAGAAATCATGAGTGGCTTTAATTCACTGTGGCTCTAATTCAGAGTCAGCCCCCACCCCAGAAGTTTCACAAACATCAGCCGCTGAACTGAGCGTGATTCACGGTTATATTAACGGCGGCGTTTGTACGTTCAGTCCGTGCTGTGCCACAAACAAATCCATCTTGCATTTTGTCTCTGAGCTACTGCAACACAAATCATCAGTATTCCGTGGATGGCGGCCATTTTAACCCTGGGTGGGTTCCCCCCACCACCGCCACCTCCCTCTTTCTGCACCTCACATGTAATTTATGAAGCTTAAAATAGTTCTCATAAAAACAACAACTTTAGCACCGAGGAAGATAATATTAATTGTTTTCCTGGGATTTTCGGGCAATTTTAAGTTCCAATGAAAATACAATTTTATTATTTACATGCAAGTAAGTGAAATAATGATCATATAAATAAATATTTAAATTAAAAACAAAAACACAGCTGAATAAGTAGAGGACCGTTTCCCCACTGTTTTGGCTAACTTGTGAGGCTAAGTGGAAATCTGCATCCTCCAGCTTGGAAATAATGCAAGTTAAAATCTAATTTACGAGGCAACAAATGGAGCAAATTGTGTTTTAGATTTTATCCACGTCATAATGCCCCTGATTTTGAAAATTAACCACGGGTGTAGCTGAGATCAAATTCAGCACTGTGGCATACAAAAAAAGAAAAAGAAAAAAAAGCAAGTTACACCTCAGTTGGAAATAGCAGCGGCACAGTTCCGTTGCCTGCGGCTGCCGAGTAAAAAAATAAAAAATAAAAAAAGACATTCTAACCCTACAAAGAAGAAAAAACCATGGTTAGAAAACTGTGCAGAGAGGTGGTGTTTTACAGAATCCTGGGTTTGAATTTTGTCCATGCAAACTGAGGAAAAGGTGAGGTTGGGGAGAAATATCATTACAGTGATTGTCAATTAAGCACATGCAACTGGTTATGGTGAAATTACACATGCACTTTATCCTGTATAGACTGTGTATTAAATACATTTTTAAATGATGGCTTAAAAAGAGAAGTAGTACATTTAATTAAACACGAAAGCATTTGTTGGAGCAGGCTGTGCAGCGCATTTTGCGCTCCTGATTGGACACAAAGCCGACAGGCCACGCCTTCTCAGTGGAGAGTAATATTTACATATGGCGAAGTAGTGTTACTGTTTTAATGAGAACAAGAGCTTCTAACAGCATTTAAACTCATCTGTATTCAGGACATCCTGCAAAAAACATTTTTTTTGGTGAGGGGTTCATGTATGCTGTCTCTGCTGAAGATCAGGAGCTGTACAACAAGGGAGGAATCCAGCTGTTCATTCAAACTGTCTGAGGTAAACTAGAAAAGGTACCCTTTCTTTATACAGGCAGGGTCCCAAATTCATTCGTACTGAAAGACGCGAAACAATTATTTAATCAGATCTCAAAGAAAGTTACTACGTCGGCATTGGCATAACATATCGCGATGTCTCCTTTGTGTAAGTGAGCAGCGTTCATCTCCATCCCGATGTGTGTGTATGGGGAGGGGGGTCATTGTTTGTTACCCGCGCTGGTTCAAGAGAAAAGAGAGCTGTAGTCGTGGAAAAAGCTGCAGAAGAAGCCCTTGTTTTAAGATTAGAGCTGTACTGACATCTAGTTTCTTTCAATGTCTTTATGCTTTTGTTAAAGGACTCCTTGGCTGCTCTGTTTGCACCTGATTGTGGATTACAGAGCATCGGATCAAGACTGAACTTCACAGCAAGCAGCTGAGTGACCTGGGAGATGAGTTTCAGCTTTAAAAAATGTGTCGTAAAGGCAGGGCTGGTACTTAGTTTGAAACGGATTTTTGGCTGACGAGCGTGATATTAAAAAAGGGGGATGAGGGGCAAGGTCTGTTTTGTTTGTCTTATCATTAAATCCACAAATTAAAATTAAGAAAGTGACTAAAGTGCTCTAGTTCTGATATTAGAGAATCAACTGTAAAGTATTAGGATGTCTTGCTGTAGATTTGTGGCTTTACAAAATTTGAAATCAGTAAGAACAAAGCACAGCAAAGGAAATAAAAAAAAGCTCACGTTAATGTTGTTTTTTGTTTGTCTATTCACATTCTTTTTATGCTTTTTTCCTGGTGTAAGAACAAACCAGTGTAATGTTATGCCTACTGTAAGATGATGAAGCATAAGTTTCAGGTTGATTGTGCCATTATGTAACACTTAGTGTTTTCAGTTACTCCATGGACTGTTTAATAGCATAATTTAATTCATGTCAACAAAATCCAGATCCTCCAAATAAAAGGATTAGTTTGACTTGAACGGGTGTGTTCTTTTTAATATTCATTCACTTCCTTTCTTCTCTTATCTAAACTAATCACAAAATACAGGACAGGAACAGCTCTGCAGAAATTCCCACCTCTCCAGAACCACCCTGTTGTTCCAGAGCATGTTTTATGCAATATCATATCTCATTTTTATTGTAAAACCGACAGGCAGGATTTAATTTCTTTCCTCATAGAGTCGTTCGCTAAGCCTTTGGCATCAGGCAGCAGGAAAGATGATCTTTCACACACACCCTGACCATCTGTAAACAGTGACAGAGGATGTGAATGTCAGAGGACACCACTGCCAGAAGTCCTTCCTTCTATGGCCTCTGCTGTCATCAGGGATCTACCAAACTGTGTGTGGTTGGATGAGCAAAACAGGCAGACACTTTTTTCCCCCTTAGGAAGGTCATACAGTAAGTAGGTGTTATTTTGCAACCTGTAAAGTCTGCACTTCTCCTCCTCAAAGGAAATGAACTACACAACTACTTTATTTAACTACTTTTGTTCTGCAGTTGTTTATGCCCGCGGAACAACAAATGTGAAAACATTACCAAAGAGCTAAACACAGCACTGGATACTGTCTGTTAATAAACCACTGACTGATATTTGTTCTTGGTTTGCACAGTCCAGATCTGATGCAACTAAAGTACTGACAATAGTTTTTTCATGCTGGCAGCTCCTACTCCTAAAACATGCCTGTACAGCTCACTGAAAAGGATTTCCAGTGAAGTTATGCATAGCATAACAGTAGGGCTACGGTGTGTTTCTTTCAATAAGAGCATGCAGTAGATGAAAATTGACCATAAAAAGAGTGAAAATTGATGTCATACTAAAATGAGAAGAGCTGGTACTTTAATTCATGGTTCTTGTGTTGAGCTTGTGTCCTGTTGAGTCATGAAACACATTAACCGTGAGAAACCTGCAGCCAAACGAATAACAGTAGCTGAGGAACCTCCCCACATGGATCATGCATTGTGTCACAGAAACTGATGTGCGTGGATTTATCGCAGCTCTTATGTGTTAGTGATATTGATATAATTGTAACTGTTATAAATGACTCACTCGTCCGGGTATGATTTAGAGGGCTTGGCCAAAAAGGCTCTACTCCTCCTTCCTTGTGTGAAAGATAGCTCACTGATGTGAGGAAACCTGAAGTAATTCATACATTACGCAAGCCTTTGACTGCAATGCTCTGATAGTCTATATCAAAAAGTATTAGTGCCTGTACCCTTTTCTGATGCTCTTATGGATTTCCTTCTTGGTATTTTCTGTATGAAATTATGAGTGAATAAATTGCATCTTCATTTATCTTCGAAAAAACCTTCTGTGCTGACTGTGATACTCAGCTCTCAGCACTTTACATAATTATATTAGTCTTCTGCTACACCACGAAATTGATTGCCCAAGAAAATGAACCTGGCTTATGCTATAAATTACACCTATGGATCATAAGAAATGTGTTATTTTGTTTAAAATAGTACCTAATATAATTAGAGCTCTAATTCATGGCAAG